CATCTATGTACGTATGCATACTATTAAATACGATTTAATATGTTAGAGACTGAAATAATCTCGAGATCATTATTTATGTTCTTTATTTCTTAACACTATTGGTCCATATACTTAAGAGAATCCAACAACGACCGCCTCGTCTCACGCGATTTATAGGGATATGTGAAGGGGAGAGAAAGAACGGGGAAAACAAAATAACAGAAAAATATCGCACGATATGAACGGCCCTAACATAATACCATTCTCTCTCTCTCTCTCTCTCTCTCTCTCTGTGCTTTCGTGCATTGTTTTCCCGAATGTATTATATTACTAAAATCATTATTAAAATTATGCAAATAAAAGATTGTCGAATTCTACTTTATTCTTATATCTTATGTTTTTTCTTATCGATTTTTAAGAAGTGGGACGGCAATGTCGGATATGATCCGATCCTAGTGCGAAGACGTAAAGTTTTTAATCCTCTATTTCAATTTCTTCGATACTATCGAAGAGAAGAGACTTACGAGAGCTTTTCTTCAGTTTCTTATCAGGCATGGAAGTAGAAAAAATAAAAATAAAAAAAAAGAAATAAAAAAGAGAGAGAATGAGAGAGAGAGAGAGAGAGAGAGAGGAAAAAAGAGAAATAAACTAAATAGAAAAAGAAAAAGCATTGACGGGTTTAGCACCGACAATTTTCTATCGACAAATTTTATCGTGGACAATATCTAGCTAGAATGAAGCGATAGTTGGAATCGGAGAGGTTTTAGGGGTACTTGGTTGAAGCCCTCAAGTATAATCGCGTTATAGCCCTCACGTATATAGCTTTCATTATATTACCGAGGCTGTTTTCCTTTTCGTTTCTTACGAAAATATTAACATGAACGTTCGCATTTCAAATAGAAAAGAAGAATAGATAGATGAAAGGAAAGGAAGAAATCGTAGCCGATTGTTGTGTTTTGTTGTATTATATTGTATTATATTATAGGGAAAACTAAACTAATCGTGATCGTTTCGATAGGAAACTGTCGTTATCGAAAGTTTGTCCCGACAAAGTTGCTCCTTGCTTGAGAAAATCGATTTCCACGCTACTGGTTCGGACAGCAAGTGGTCACGATAAGACTACGATGATGTTCAATGACCGCGAGATTGGTTTTGCGAACGAGTTTCCTTTTATCGTTCTATGCAAATAACAAAGGCGCATCTACGTTATTACGCTTAAAAATAGCGATAAGAATGCAAAAGAAACGTCTTCGCTTGTATGTAAACTTCAACGATAATTTCAAAAGTGATTCTTGATTACGCATCGAACCTCAATATCAACGTTCTTTCGTCTATTTATTTCCGTGAGTTTTCAATATTATTCTTTTGGTTTGGGAATATAGGGATATGTTGACAAAGTCATATAACTTAACTTCTTCGAAAATACTATTATTCTTTACTATTATTATTATTTCTTCTTTTTTTTTTTCAATTTTTAGATAATAGCTATACGCTTTGTGGATGTTATTTTGTTCGTATATTAAAAGTTAAGAAAAAAATTATCTTTGAAATTATCTTAACGTATCAAATTTTTATGCGAATTAATATGAAGAATTATAACTCGATATTTAAGAGAATAATAAATATTGTAACTAAACAATGACATCAAAAAAAAAAGAAAGAAAAACAAAAGAAAAATATCTTTACTTTTATTGATTCATCGAAGCCTATAAATCGGGATTTAAAATTTGAACGTCTCGAGAATAGATACTTTTTTACTACCACTATCCGAAATCAAATTCCAAATCGACGAATCTAATCCAACGTTATTCGTGTCCATCGGAAAGCGATTCGACCTTAGCCGTTTTGCGGTAGTTCGCGTTTTACACGAGACCAAGTTGTTTCGTAAATAAACCGTAGGATTACGGGTCGGAAGTCTTGCTAAAACTCGAAAGTTTCGTAAGACGACAAGTTCCGGAAAACATTCGACGAAAAGGCGGCACCTTTTCTTGTTCGTATAAAGTGCTTCGAATGAACAAACGAATGAACGAACGAACTAACAGACACGAATTTCAAGCGGAATTTGAAACCGAATCTCGTGGCTAGCCACGATATCCGGATGATCTCCTCAGAAAGAACTTTCCGCTTGGCCGGTAACCTTCCGGTTACGGTCTATCCAACTATCACTTCTCTACTCGTGTCCTAAATAAAGCGAACGACCGTTTCAACGGCTTTTCTTAACACCAAACGACCTACCAATCACTTGCCGTATTGAGAATGGTTTCTACCACAGCACATGTACTAAACGATACTTTTCGTAAAGTTCTGTGATAAATTAATCCTTATTTTTTTTTTTTTATTACTCGTGAAAAAGTATCAATTTGTGATGATTAAATAAATTTGAACAATCAATATTGACATTCTTTTTCAAGGATACATTTACATGGAAGGAATCATCATTCCTATCAATTCGAATTTCTTCTCGAAAGAAACGAGCAAACCTACTCAAAAAAAATAAGTTGTTTGTGAAAGAAAGAATGAAGTAGATATGCCCGAGGCTTTGTAAGCGGCTCGTGACAGAGTATAGTATATTTTGAAAGAGAAATGAATTTTGTCTGGTGTTTATATTGCCGCCTGTAAATGTTGTTATCCGACCTGCGTTTCACGAGCAAAAGAGTACTGCTAGAGCTTGTAGAGCTTGGATAGATCGTGAAGAATGGAAAAAGAGAGGTAGGAGGTGAAAAGCGAATGCAGTTATTCGTTTCAAACGTTTTGCGAACGAGGAGTTGCATTTTTTCTTTTTTTTTTTTTTTTTTTTTTTTTTTAGTTTACGCTTCATTTTCGAAACGTTTTTCTTTATCTTCTCCTCTTCTTTCATACGCTCATACGCGGATTTACCCGGAAAGAAATAATGGCTTCTTCTCGGCCTATACAACTACTCCGCTTGAAACGATCTTCCTACACGATTCATATCACTGAGATATACTTTTCCTCCTCTTTCCCTTCTTCCGCTTTTTCAAACTCGACCGCAGGGAGTTACTCTCGACGGAGAAAAAAGTTAAGTGAGAGACGATTATCTTTGAAACCATTTGAGATATCGAAACACCCTTATGGATCATAACGTTTCATATCAAAATCTAAATATCTATGCGTATATTTTACTGGTATGTTTCATATTTCAAGTAAAAAAAAAAAAAAGAAAAAAAAACAGAGAATAAGAAAAAAAGAAAGGCAAAAGAAAGAGAAAAAAGATGAGATTTGAAAAACGATTTAAATTGATTTTCGTTAGTTTTTTTTTACGTTCAATTCCTTTCTTTCTCTTTTTATTTTATAAATATAATAAATTCACGAAAGTTTTTTGTCCGGTGAAAGACGAGCGAATTTCTTGCATTTTCGAAAATTCAGAAGGAGAGAACAAATAACACGCTTATATATAAAATCGTTCTATCGTATAGTTTCTTTGGTTGGTGACGCATTTTCAATTTTTCCATATTTTTTTTTTCTTCCTCTTCAGTTTCTTTTCATCCGTCGTCTTTTCTCATCGTTCTTTCTATTTGGAAGACATTCACAGTAAAGGTAACATTTTCAAGAAGAAGAAAGAGAACAAAGAGAATAAAAAGAAGAATAAGATCTATTCGTCCAAGAGAGAACGCCATTACAATGATTTTGTCTCTGTATAAAAATCTAAGCAAAAGTCAAGTTTCAAGAATCTTTCGTTCGAGAAACTATTCCGTGATATCTTCGAAAAAAGATATTTCTCAATTTCAGAGGAATGTAAATTTTACTTTTAAATTTTAACTCTAGTTGTGCCTGTTGTTTATAGAACAGGCCAACTTTGAACTCAATTAAAACAATTTACGCATTGCATGATTCATGAATATTTTTTTATTATTATTATTATTATTATTATTTCAGAAATGAAATATGACAGAATTATTATTATTATTTCCGAGGCTTCAAAGAATATGCAGTATTTTTTTGGAGTAAAAATTATTCATTGCATATAAATGAAAGCTATTCAAAGTGCCTGGGGTGTAACGCATCCCAAATGTACAACTTGAAAATATTTATTGGTGTGCACAACTAGCGTTAAACATCTCTCTTGGACAAAGGGAATAGATAATAGTTAACAGATATATCAAATGTTCATAACTGTGGTCGTCATGATGAAGTTTTTCTCAAACCATCTTTTCGTCGTTAATTGCCGTGCTGCTTACCTTTTCACTCATTACTTTTTCTTCCCTTACACTCCTCGATGTATTTCAACGTCACTTCCTTTTCTCGCCTTTCAACATTCTTTCACAAGGGTTGAAAACAAATAAGACAATTTCTTATCTTTAAAAAATCAAGCCACGGTTTAATTTCTTAAGATAAAATGAATAATAAGAACTATTTTCTTTTAAATATTAATACTTTTTTTTCTTTCTCCACAATTTTATATTGATCGTTTCGTTAACCAGACACAATTATTCATCATTCCACGGAATAATCAGTTAAATGAAAACTAATACCAATAATGAGTTAACAAGAATGCTTCATAATCATGGATAATACTGACGAATTGCCAATTCTGGTGGATTTTCCCTGATGCACGGTTAACCACCGTGTGATAATTTATGCCACTCATCCGTATTCGGTCTGTGACTTTAATCATAGCAAGACAACAGCGAATATTCACAGTGAGAGCTCATTAATTAACAACCCACGCTGAAATGGAGTAGGAAGTGGAGAAGAGAGAAAGAGTGAAAGAGGGGGAGAGAGAAAGAGAGAGAGAGAGAGAGAGAAAAATAAATAGCTCAAATCTGTTGCTAATTTTTAAGATTAAAATAGATTGCATGAACGCTATTCTCTTTTCCGCCTCTCTCTCTCTCTCTCTCTCTCTCTCTCTCTTTCTCTCTCACTATTTAATAATTTTTTCGATCTATAAATTATGTAACGTGATTCGATAGATTTGTTCATACTGAACTTGTGACTTTTGATCTATCGGATTTCGATAGGAACCAAAAAGAATGAATATCTAAGTATTTATTTTAAGGACTCACCGATTTTCACGACAGAGGGTAAGGTTTCGACGAGAAACGGCAGCCGAAGCAGCTGAAGGATGAAAGCGGAGGCTAGCAGATAGCCCAGATTCATAGCTCATCTCGAAAACCCAGCGTCGCGGCCCCTCGGTGGCCCTTATCACACGCGTCTATGCCCAACGGCAACGGAATTTCTCCGATTCTTGCATTTACCTGAAAATTTAAAAGAAAATTCTCCTTGTACAGACTGTTTATCGATTTTTTTGTTTAAATGTATCGAGAATTACACAGTGGATAAAGATAAATATAATACGTAATTGTAGAAAAGATTCGTTTTGTTATGTTTATGATTGATATATTCGAAAACGTTTTTTAATTTGTTTTGTTTTTTTCTTTTTTTTTCGAGCCGTTATGATAATTTTATATTTTATTTTATCACTGCGAATAATTCGACTTGACGTAAAATTATTCCATTTGAAGTAACTTGAGAGTATTATTTTTTTTTTTTTACAAACTTACTATGTATCCTTGAAAGAAATTTATGATTATGTATATCGAGAATAAATTCTCATGTATTTCAAGGCGACAAGATCTATTCCTATATTTTCCAAGTTATTGATAGACCGTTTTCCTATATTTCCCAACATATTCGATACGTTTGCCAATGCGCATATTTATTTGTCATTATAAAAAATGATACGTTTGGACATGTACATCGAAGTGCTTCGAACAAGGACGAATGAGGCAATATTTGTTCTTTCTTTTTTTTTTGTTTAAACAAATCGATATAACAAAACATAAATAAAGTTTGAAAAATGGTGAGACTCTACAATAAAATACTTATTTTCTACATTATTATATTATTTATCAATGAACGATAATAATAGCTCGTACATATGTACACGTATATATGCGCATTATATTATTTTGCGTTTCAACAGTCGACAGCGGTCTTCGATATTTTTAGCCTTTTACCGATAAATATCGATGGTGCTCGAAGCTCTTTCGAATATCGAAAAGCATCGCGTTTGGTAGTCACGAGTGGAAATACATTGCTACGCGCGAGTCGTTTCTGATTTTACTGTGAACCGTAATTCTGCCTCGGTCTCAATCGAAACTACTCACATGCGAAAAAGTAAATAGCTTTGTCCGATGTCTGGACAACGATATTTCGTATACTTTTATTCTGATGCGTTTGTAACTTAAGGGAAAAATAAATTTTTGTATTTTTTATATTTCGAAAGTAATGTTACATTCTGATTTTGGGAGCGAGCTTCGCGTCCTTAAGCTTTTCCGTTCATTACGAACAAATAATATTTTAATAAATAAGCATTAAATAAGTGTCTCTTGTCCAAAGACTTTTGTTAGTCTTGGTTACGATCGATGATGAAGACGGAAAGAGGCAATGTCTATAGCTATAAAGGAAGGGCGAGAAATTCAAATGCAAAATAACTTTGGAGAATGTAATGTTAAAATGATAAAGGAGATTTGCTACTTGGAAAGCTTTCAAAGTCGCCTAGCTTTAGTGTATATATATATGTATATATGTATATATATATATATATATATATATATATATATATATATATGTATAAATAAGATGTCTTTTCATTCGTTCATACATAAGATGGACATTTCCATCGGTCAAGCGTATATTTTGAATTTTCTGAAATTTGAAGAAATAAAGGTTGGCGATATCGACACATTTTCATCCTGCCATTTTTTTTTCCTTTTCCTTTTTTTCGTTTCCGATTGAGTCTCCATAGTCAGCTACATCTATAGCGATCTGGCAAATGGATTGGCTCGTAGTACAACGCCAGAAATTTGTCTAGACGCTTTCTCCTTCGATACGCATCGTTTTCTTTTTTTTCGAACTAACACGAGCAAACCCGCGAACGAGAGTACGATTACATGGTATCGAGAATAAAAAGAGTAAGTTAGTTGAATAGAAAGAAAAAAGGAGAGAGTAAGAGAAAGAGGGGGAGAAAGAGAGAGAGAGAAACAGAGAGAAAAAGAGAGAGAGAGAGAGAAAGAGAGAGAGAAAGAGAGAGAGACAGTGCTTTGGGGGCTTCTTCGTAAAAGAAATTAGCTTCAGGGTTTCAATGCAAAGGGAAAAATCCACAACGTAGATAACCGATAGGTATCTACTTCGATTCTTCTCGATTTAGTCTTTTTGACGAGCGCAGACAATACGATTGGCTGTTTATATAAAATGAAGTTGAATAATATTCTTAAAAACACAATCGCTAATCTTATTTTATTTTATTTTATTTCTTTTCGTAGTGTTTTGTTTTTCCTTCTTTTCAAAATGTTATTGTATTATTATTACAATATTTCTCTTCGAATGGCACAACTTACTATTGTTATCCCATATATAAAGTGAAATCAAATGGTTCGGATTATAAGAAAACGAAAAGAGAAATGAGCTTCGGAAAACTAAGTGTACGAGACTTTAATTCAATGTCGTGATTCCTTCATGAGCGGTGAAGGAGGATCGAGAAAATGGGGAAAGGAAAGAACGAGAAAGGGAGAAGCTCGCTTTTCTTCTTGGTATACGCCTCGCTTCAGAAGAAACAATGGTACGACTTTTAGTTCGTTCGTGGAAAGATTCCGATGTCGTATATTTTGTGGTGGTGCCAACTCGCAGACTGGCTGGCGACTTTTCGAAAGCGCGTGTTTTCAAAGCACATACATTGGCTAGAGTTTATGAGTTAGAGTTCGTTCCTACTTCGACTTCCTACATAAGGATATATACATATGTATATGTATATATACACACATATACAAACATACATGGATTTTCAATGCGGTCATCGAATCACCCGTATATTGACCGATCACCTTGAATATTTCCTATTTTGCACCCCCAATTCTCTTCTTTAACACTTGAGAAACTTTACTATCGAAAAACGTAACGATAAAAAAAAAGAATCATTCATAAAAGCTTAAAATGTAATTTATACGATATTAAAATGAAAAGATTCTAATTAAAGCATGTTTCGTATTCTTTCCTGAATATACAAGGAATCATTGCTCATGGATTTCATAAAATTTACATTTTCTGCAAAGATTTACATTTCAAATTCTTCCATTTAAGTAGGATCATCGCTTTGCATAATGATACTTTTAAGAATGAACTAGTTATAATAAAAAAAAAAAAAAGGTAACGAAAAAAGGAAAATAAAAGAAAAAGAAAAAAAGAAATTATAACGTTACTTATCCCAAAAAGCCTTCTCAACCATATTACCAGACGCATATGGGAAAAAGAATTTGTGAGGTTCGATACGTGCTGAAAGAAAAAATGTAATAAACCAACTACGTTTTTAATATCAGTGATCTCTCATGCGAAAAGTAATATAACGGGTTCTCTTTTACACATTTTTATGCATACCTAAGCATTGGTAGGAACAAGGAGAATTATAGTTCACGTGGTCGAAATTATACGTTGGTAGACGATAATAAAAGGAAGCCCTTAGTCATCTCGTTTTATTTCTTTATACATAATAATCTACTTTAACGATCGATTCTTCTATAATTAATATGTAGAAAAGAGAGATAGTGGAAATCATTGAAAGATAGTCTCTTTTTCTTTCTTTTTCTCTCTTTTCTTTTTAGTCTTGCTCTCTTGAATCCCAACTTGAGAGTCCTTTGAAAAGAAGACGAGCGAGCTGTTAAACGAAATTCTTCCGATTCGTTTGCCGTCGCTCGCAGCTCGCCTTAATCGAGCGACTTTATCCGACGATAATTCGTCGTGGCTATAGAAACGCCTTAATCACGGGAAAGGTGGAGAAAAGGAGGAATTCGAAAAAGGGTAGAAAACGGAGAGAAAAGGGGAGAGAGAGAGAAAGAGAGAAAGTTGGTCACCTTTGTAAGACCATTTTACGAATATATATTTTTCACTTAGGAGCTTTTTCTCCTTCTAGCCATCCTCGTGATTTATCATCCTTCCAAAACATCTTCATGATATCGGGTAGATATAGTTAAGTTGATGCGTGATAACAGATTCTTTCTTACTCTTTCATCTTCTTTCTTTTTTTATCTACATTCCATACATTTCCAAAGAATTACAAACATATGTAAACGTTTTTTCAAGACGATTTTATTCTCTCTCTCTCTCTCTCTCTCTCTCTCCCCCTCTTTCTCTCTCTCTCTCTCCCTCTCTCTCTCTCTCCCTCTCCCTCCCTCTCTCTTTCTTTCTCAGTATATATTCTTTTTACGATCTGTTATATTATTACGGAATTAAAAAAAAATAAAATAAGCAAACAAAAAAAACAAGTCGGACAGTAAAGTAAATTACTAACTCGAAATGGAGATAACGCTTAATGACTCTGTAAACTTTTCAACCGCGAGCTCGTTAAAATATCTCCGTAATTTTATGAACGTGGAATTAAAACGAGACACGAATGCAGTTAACCACCACGAGTATATAAAGGTTATTATGAAAAAGATAGAATACCGAAAACAATTGAAATCTCTTTCTTTCCTTTGTATATTTGAGATGGAAGTTTGTAAAAAAAAGGGAAGAAAAAAATAGAAAAAAAAAATAAAGAAAAAAACGAAAATCATTATTCGTTTGATTAATGAATAAATCTCAAGGTGATATATCGTTTTCTTTCTTCTCTTTCTCTTTTTTTTTTTTTAGAGAATAACGTACCGACAAAATATATACATAAAAAAAAATGAAATGATCTTGCGTTAGAAAAGGGTTACGCGGAAAGCAGGTGCGCGTACAAGAGAAAAGGAGGAAGAAACGAAGGACGAAAGCACGTTCCACTTTAATTTGCCGGTACTTCCGTTCGCACGTGGGACAAATAGTTCAGGTTTAGTTGCCTTGAAAAGCAATTCACCGCGTGAAACACAGTAAATTTATAGATTTCAACGGTAGTTACGACGTCGTAAACTGCTTTTCGATCGAATTAAATTGACATTTTGAGTGCCGCTTTTTAAAAGAAAAAAAAAAAAAAGAACAAAAGAAAAAGAAAAAGAAAAAGAATAGGAAAATAAAAAAGAAAAAAATCGACTTATACTTTTAAGTTATTACAAGTCTTTAGTTATTACAAGTCTTAAGTTAATACAAACCTCAAGTTTGTATTAACTAAAGATTATATATACATATTTATGTATTTATTTATTTATTTATTTTCGATCCAATTAAAATCGATGCAACTTCCTTCTTGTCGAAGGATCTATGTACTATAAATCCATTTTTATCGGTCGGAGTAAGGAGAGATGATTATGATCGATTGGAAATTAACTCTACACATATATACTCACTCTAAAAATAATATTTGCGGATTACTACATTATACGTTCTGAACAAATGGCTGTTTCTGCATAAAACTTGTACAGCTTGAAATCGTACTTTGTACTGTGTACCACGTGTTCCAAAGGGTCAACGATCATTTATATTCGAGGTTTCAACAATTATCAAGAGAACATATTTTACGTAAATATTCCTATATTATACATATTGTATAAGTATATGTACAGTTGAAAAAAAATTATCGTTGACTATCCCTTTTCTCCGAAAAAAAGAAAAGTTTTTTCAGAAAAAAAAAAAAAAGAAAAAAAAACTATTCGTTCATTCGAAGATTCTTAAGAAGCAATTAAATACGATCCCGAACGTAAATTCGAATTAAAAACAAAGTTGTAGACGTATTACCTAGTACTTGAATATCGCCATGTAAAAGTTGGAAAGAAAATTCGATTCGTAAAGAAAGTTTCTCTAGCACCGTTGTTTTATTCAAAAGAACGAGAAAAAAAAAGAAGCTTCGTAGTTGAAATCGTAAGACTTCGAACGGTCAACGATTCTTTCCTTCGACGTGCTCCATATTCGCCTAACTAACTTACTAGTACGCCCCGATAAAAGGAGGACGTTCGAGTCGTATACTTGACCTGTTTATATAATCCTTGGCGAAATAAAAAACGCGTCTCTTAAGTCTATTGTATCTCTTAAAAGATACCACATGGATAATCGATAAACGGCTACATTGAATTTCTTTTTTTAAAATTATCAAATAAAATTATTTATATTGCACATGTTATTAAGAATAATATAGAAAGAAGCGATAACAATAACAAATATAATATTAACAATAAATGAAATAATATAAAAATTATATTTATGTACTTAGAATGATTTCTCTATCTTTCTTCGATCCTTAAATTGATTTAGCGAAGAACCTTGCCAGTTGAATTTCCTTGATCCTCTTCGTAAAGTTGAAGAAATGAAGATGAAGTTGCTTTTAAAAGATGAAAGAGAAGTAATTTATAAGACGCAATCCAAATGGTCCTCGTCTTATCGCGACGCACGCGTAAACATAACCTCTAAGGATACTCGAGGATCATTGTCGCGTCAACATAAACAAATACATCCTACCGTGACAGCGGCCGGCGCACGACTGCCCTCGGTTGTTCGGTCGTCGACTCGCGAAGCTACCCGGACTTAGCCGATCTCCGAATTCTCCTTCTCGAGCCGGACACGTGCTCGAAGAGCGTTTACGCATGCGTCACCTGTTACTACGTACTCTTCTCTCAGGTTATTTGTCTTATCATCTTATCTTCATTTTTTTTATTATTCTATCTATTTTTTTTATTTGATTTATTTATACATAAATGCAAACAAATTGATTTTATATGATATTAATTATTTAATGTATCATATGTGTGCGTATAAGACGAGGATAATTTTATTTGTTTTATATGATAAATTAAAATCAAATTTACAATCAATTTATTCAAATTAATCAATTTACAATGAATTTATACAATATATTAGTTATGTTCTAATTCTTTATTGATTTACTTTAATTGATAATTTCAAAAATAGTCTTAATATATTCGATTTTAATGTAATATAATGAAAAAGAAAATCATATTTTTCTTGTAAATTGTACAAACGTCGGAGTTAGTATCGATTAAGGTGGCACACATACTTGAGAGGCCAAGCAACAGGTATTATAACGTGTGCGTTTTCGCTATGCTGAATAAAGTCTTAGCCAAGACACGAACCCTGAAATAATTTTAACTTGTTTCCAAGTGGATAACCGTGATTCCAGAGGAACTTACTGTTTGCCGCTTTCTCCGACCGATGGCGTTGTAACCAGCGGGGAAAATTCAAGTTGGAATTTTTATGATTAGATATTTATTATTAGTTCCATTTTATTTTTTTCTATATAATTATATAATAAACCGTTCAATTTATTTATTAAATTATTCTGTCAAGCGATGTATCTATAAACTGAATATATTATGTCACAACGCGTATTATCTATGGTAAATTAATTTTTGATAATTAATATACTCTTTGGATATAAAATTTGTTTGAAAATGTGGGAATAAATTCTTTTTTTTTTTGGAAAACAAGTAAAAGCAAAAAAAAATTTCTTTTCAAATCAGCCATTGACCCAGTGCATAGTAGTGGCTTATTTAAAGTAGAAACTCCGTATCTTACTTCCGTCCACTTCGTAGAAGCTTTCCTGAGTAGATCCTGAGAAAATATCTTGATCTCTTTCTCTCTCTCTCCCCCATTTTCCTTCTTTCTACTTTCATTCCTTCATTTCTCTGAAAAATCTCTATACAGAATATATTCTGTATCTGTAGGCGAATGGTTAAATGAAAAGATTATCATAATCTTTGTTCCTTCTATTGGTCAAAGATCTATTTTCATTTTTGTTATATCATTTCTTTTTTCCCCTTGTAATTTGCAATTGTAAATTACCAAAAAAGAAAAGATGATATCTTGCAATATCATTTATAAATCGTTTCTCATTTTTCGAACTTCGTGAGGAAAGAAAAAAGAGACCTTAATTACAGTGTTTCTTTAAATAAAGCATTAGCGTTGAAAGAATTTCGTGGTTGCGTTTCTTGCGCCTACTTTGCGCTAGATTAGAAAAGTTTTCTCTATGAACGTTATATCTCTATACGTTCTATTCCTAACTTGGTGAAGTTGCTCCGGTTTTCAGAAGAGCGGGTTATCTATTTTCGGATGGACGAATAGAGGAACGAGTTCGTCATCGATTTCGGCATCGTTGCAGAGAGCCAATGAAAAGTTACGCCTCATCGGATTAAAAGTGTTTGCTAACGTATTCGCTGGTGAGAAAGTTTTATCGAAAAGCTCTTGTCATGGACACTTATCGTCTACGGTTTTCTACGAACGTAAAAGAAGCTTAGAAAACTTTTATCTCATTGTCAGTATTTCGATAACTAACGATAAGTACATTAGTAAACGTTGATGATAGTTTGAAACGATGTTACGTTGAAAGCTTATTGTTAATTCAGCAATAAAATGTATATATGTTGATTTCAGATTAATTATATGAGCCTGATAATGAGAAATTCTTTATATCTATTCTATGTCATCGATATGGTTGAGGTCAATTTCACTGATTTTTCATGAACTCTGAACTCTGACGAATCATAAAACAAATTAATTATGTGTAATAATTGGAAACGGACGTCGATATTATAGAATTTTTTCAAAAATATTGGAAAGCAAGTGGAACTTCCTCGTTCATGACAATAAATAAGGATTTTTATCTTGAACTCCCTGGAAAGCTCTAGGAAATTTATCGAACTGTGCGTGGTAAGGGCGGTATCGTTTTTCGTTATCTTTAAATTGCTTTGGATTACAAGCAACTTTCCCGTTGGCATTCGATGCGAAGGCGAATGCCTACAACGCGTGCGAAACGATGTCGGAGAGTTTGGGAATATCGTTGCCAAACGATAAGCGGCTGGTTAAAACCCAGTTAAATGGGAAGCAATTAGCCGATCATATGACGCGGTTATGTTCCATTCGCTCGCGGCACATTAAAAGTACTGGGGCTTTCGTTTTTCGTTGATCGCCATTATTCGGTAGCTCGATTTTATTATCCTCTATTTGATTCATCTTTGAATAAAATGATTCGTCATTGAATACGTACGATTATTTTTATTTTTCACGATCTGTATTCATTCTCTTTCAAATTTTCAATCCGTACGAATAAATCAGAGATTATTTATTTCATTATGACAAAGAACGCTCGTGATTATCTCTTTAAGCAAATGGTTTAATATTATAATTCGAAAAAAATTTGAAATTAATGTTCTCTTCATTACAAGGTGTATTTCGTTTGAGTTGAACGACAAGCGAAGACGAATGAATAGAGCAAAAATGATGAACGAGGAATTTATTATACCGACGTTTCGAGCAACATTATCGATTTTCACGATATTATATACTCGAAAAAAAATTAATAGAATTATTCGTAGTATTTATTAATTTTTGGTACGAACGTAAGGGATTAAAAAATGTAATTGAATATTTTTTATTTAATATGATAAAAAATAAATGGAATATTTGATTTTTCGTATAACACGTAGACTTTCTTTTTGAAAAGATACAAATGACTTTCGTCGATTATATGACTTTTATCTCCTTCATTCTTTCTCTCTCTTTCTCTCTCTCTCTCTCTCTCTCTCTCTCTCTCTCTCTCTAAATTGTAATATTTCGCACTTGGTCGAATCTTGAGAACATTCCTCCTCCGTGCTATATCAGTTCTAAAGACTTCGTTGAGTTTTTCACTTTGCGTTGGATAAGCTGACGGTATCATTAAAATTATTATTATCTACATCTTTATTTGTTCAGTAGAATAAAAGTACGTTGAAAGTACTTTCGGTATTCTTTTTTCTTTTCGATGATATTTCTTTTTCATTTTTACGAACAGATGAAAAACGAAATAAATCTCTTTTTTATCTCTTTGAATCTCCATATCACAAAAATATCTCAAATAATTTCACTCCCTCTGACACGCTTGAAAAATTTTCTAGCAATGAATGCGAATCCATGTAAGATTTAATTTAATTGAAAATAAAATAAATATATAAAACAGAAGAATTTGAAGATATAATGTTGTTTTCTTTTCTTTTTTTTTTTTTTTTTTTTTTTTTTACTACAAACGTATGAAAGATATATAATTATTATGTATATATATCTGCAATTATCAGGAGATGCTTAAATTTTCATTACGAATTAACACATTTTACCGAGTAATAGATTTGATGTATATATTAACACATGTATTATAATTTCATAGTAATATAATTAATAAACATTAATTTCTCTTTCCATATATATCCAATCTAACTTGATAAAAATGTTAATGAAGAAGAGTTGGAAAATAGAGATAAAGAGAAATTATCTAAAACGTTTACGAAATCAAAAGCATTTACAAAAATTGAAAAAAATACGTTGATTGGATGTATGTGAAAACGTTTCAATCTTCGAAAGAGAAGCCTGGTTGGGTAGATTAAAAGAAAGACACATAAGTATTTCCCGATGGGAAATTTAATCCTCTTTGGAAAAAGAGCAACTGTAGAAATTGCTCGGAGAATTTCGTTTTACGAGCATACCGCATCATGAAATCCATCCTCTTTTAAGATCTCTTTAAGCCATGAACATTATAAAAAGTGGGCATCGATCCAACTACAGCGAGAACGAAGAACGCGTTTGCCAAGTGACTTTTCTAAGGTGAGGAATACAACGATCGAATTTTACCTTTGATATTTCGATCTTTTCGCGATCGATTTAATAAAAAAATAAATTAACTAAACTTTGATTTTGCTCGAAGCACGAAAAAGAGAGAAAGAGATAGACAGACAGAGAGAGAGAGAGAGAGAGAGAGAGAGAGAGAGAGAGAGAGAGAGAGAGAGAGAGAGAAGGAAAAGCATTTTTGATAAAATACTACTATGAGAGATCAAGTGTCGCCACTGTCGATTCGTCCAGTGACAACGAAAACGCAATAAACGAGCCAATTTTCCGCGCTCGAGCCGACAAAAAACAGCAACGACGCACCTTGGTAATTCTCCTAATGGTCGTGCACGCCGTTACCGTGCTCTTCCGTGCACTCTTCTCTAATGCACTCTCCCTCGTCGACTATATCGTATCGAGCTCGAAAATGCTAGGAAAATGTCGGGAAAATGCTTTGGAAATAATAATACCTACCGGGACAAAATACCGGACGTGCGTTCCCGACCATTCCGGACCATTCACGAAATCTTCCATGACTTTATCTAATTTTCTATCGAATGTTGAAACCACATTGCGAATTGTCAATGTTTAATATGTATTTCTCTTTCAATCTCTTCTTTTTTCCTTTCTTTCTTTTTTTTCTTTTCTTCTTCCTCTTCTTCTTCTTTTTATTATTTATTCGATTAAAATCAAATATATTGATTTTCGATTATAACGCGATTATATTATTTTTTTTAATTTATACGATCACGAAGAATTGAATTCTATGTGTAATGTGTTACATCAACGTATATAATAATTTTCGTAACATATATAATAATTTTCAAATTTTCTAAGAATAGTTTATTTCCATGCTGATTTGAATGTTCTGTTTCATTTGATTTTATTATTATTTCATAAAAGAAAATAGGATCACATAGAAATTTCTATAGAAATCCACAAAAACCATGGGGTCATTCAAAATGGTAAGTAGCGTTTATGCGTAAAATAATGTTTTGTTTTCATAAACCCATGGCTATGTTCGTCTATTCTTTCTTTTCTAGTTTTACATGTGTCGTTATGCTAATGTCCATTACGAAAAATAGAAAGTTTAATTGTTAAACAACATGAACAATTTTAGATTCACGGAAATAATGAAATTAAATGTATCATAAAAGTTGTTTCTGTTCTAATCTGGAAGTAAACGAATATCTTTTCGCACAAATCTTATTATTGTGAATAACGCTCCGATGATTTTATTAATCATTAAATACAAATTAACCATACTAAATTAGTTATACGAAAGTTCTCCTATATAAACGGATATATCGATGATTACTTTTAACAAATTAATCCCTAAATAAATACCTATTCGTTATTTCTAATTATAGAACATTTATGATTTGAAACGAAAGGTGCGATATCATTGTACACACCGATAAATAGATATATTCTCGTTAAATTAATTAATTGATTGTTGTCATTGAAAAAAAGAATTCAAATCGATAATTAGTACACGAGATGAGATCGATTTCAGGACATTTTATCGTTTATGCAAAGTATTGGATTATTCGTTAAACTCAGCCGTACAGATAGCCGGAATGACATTTTCAAAAGAGGGTCAAGCAATTTTACGATTCGTTTCACGTATTCAGTGTTTGTCGATAATGAATGTATATAATGGAGTTATCGCTTATTCATGTCATAACGTCATTAATTCGTTCACTTAGTATCATCTCTTTTACCGAAGAAAAAAGAGGGGAAATATTGAATACTCTCGTTTTTATTGGTTATTAAGTAAATGATTATAATGCCGCATTCCCAAGAAGCGTGTCCCATGAACATGAATCATGTTGTCGTGCTTACTTCAATTTTTTTTTCACTTTTATCTTTAAAGGAATGTTTTATCTTTTCAACTCACGAGAGTAAGAAAATAATTTAAAAGTATAATAATCTTCCTAAAAATTTTTTTCACGTTTGCTATTGTTACAACTAAAAATCAAATTCTTGATTCTGACACAATTCAATCATTGAAATGGTGACATCATAGGCAATCTTTATAATAACACGCCCATAGAAGTCGTAGTTTATGAAATCATAATTCACCTTCGTATTTTATATTTCGAGAGAATGCAGCATAACGCTTCTATTATGTCCACCATATCACGAAGCAATAGTATTAAAAGCTAATCAAGAATTCCCAAAATAATCGATAATTCTCTATTTAATATTAAATTACAATTGTAAATTATAAATAATAGTCGAAAGTGTAACGTCCCTTGTGTCGTGTCAAATGATACATATTCAATTTGAAATATTCAATTTGCTCGTACATTTATTCTCACGTTTAAACAATTATTAATACGAAGAGCCTTAAATTTCTATATTTGTAATTACTCTGAAACTGTTACTCTTTTTATCCAATTCAGATAAAATTTTGGATAATTAGACTTTATGATCCAACGATTAATTTACTTAACTTGTGTAAATATTTGTTATGAAACATGTTACAAAGCTTTAAACGAGTGATAGAGGGAAAGAGGGAGGGAGAGAGAGAAAGAGAGAGAGGGAGAGAGAGAGAAAGAGAAAGAGAAATCGATGTACGACCGACATCAAGTGCAAAGCAAAAGAGAGAAAGAGACAGAAGGGAATTGTGAAGTTGGTTACAATAGGAATGCATTGATTGAGTGATTTGTGATTTGTTATTTGATTTGTAATCTGTGTTTTGTGTTCTCTATATACGAATGGCATGTTGGTAACGTGTTTTCTATGGATTCGGTGGTTCGGATTCAAAATCGAACGCGCAAAATAATTTTATTTCGTAAATTTCAGCGGTTCTCAATCTTTCAATAAAAGGATCGTATCCTTCAATCAAGCACATTTTTGCACTTTCTCAAATAATTAACAATAAAATCCAACTAGCAGGAAAAAATTGTTATTTTATATTTCGAATCATAGAATGTCATATATGATTTGATATAATGCGAATGCTTGACATTGTATATTTTTTTTAAAGAAAAAAAAATATAAATATGTTTCCTTTTTTCTTAAACTTTAACTGTTTGCTGTGCTTGATAATGTATTAGTTCAATTTATAAAACAATATTTTTTATTATATATTATATCCCACAGTGAACTCTAAAGATCATCTTTTGTTCGTTCGCGATTATCGAATCTAAAATCAAAATTTAAATTATAGTACAAAGTACAATTTGGAAATTGAATGCATGAATTAATCTTTTTATGAAGGGGAGAAAGGTTTTCATTTAAAATTTTACAAATATTCAGATACATACATCATGCCTAAAATTCGTTGTACAAACGAAACAGTATAAAAATAATTTTTCAAACGAACGAAAGACCATTAATCGTTTTCCAAATGGAACAAGTGTAGATGCCTTATAAGCAGTTGTTCAAAAAATTTCATGTACACGCTTTGAAATCTCTGGTTATCCCTTTATTGAACATATGGCAACCATTGTAATTGCTTTGATATCTTTTTCAGTTTAAGCATCTCTCTCTCTCTCTCTCTCTCTCTCTCTCTTTCTCTTTCTCTTTCTCTTTTGCATAAACTGTTATAATTGTACAATCCACCTATTTGGAATGAATAATTTATGTGTTCCATGTTGAAACATCAACGTTGAAGAATAGGTAAAAAAATGTGAAAAAAATGTGAAAAAAAATGTGAATAACATACGAATCATATTACACAATAGAATATTTGTAGTCTAGATAATTAATATAGATAATTCTTATTATACCATAATCCGTAATATTTGACAATTATCAAAAATTTTAAGAAAAAATTTTTAGACCATATCTTAAAACGTTTGTTCCAATTGAGAAGAAAAAATATTCACCGAAATCGTAGAAACTTCAACTTCGAGTTAATTAAATTTCGTTAGACAAAGAAAAACATTCTTGTATGTTTTCACTACAATTACATATTAATTCGAAATGCGTGCGAACGCATTTATGGATAACAAACGACATTAAATTTTTTTCTATATCGTATAATCTCAGTATTATCGCTATAACATAGATTTTAATTAAAATATTACCTAATATTAAACAATTTAAAAAATTTTAAGTATTTTTTGATTGAGAGTACGAAAGATTTTCACTTACGTAAATGAAGAATAAAAAGTATATCGCCGACGTTCCTAAATCTTATCGGGCGAAGCTGACGGATGAAACGTGTGGAAGACAATAAATGACTTTTCGTTTCAACGATATATTGCTCCTCTGGAGATAATGGTAAATATTTTTTTAATGACTTTCATCGTCACAGTCTTTTGGAAAATGTATAAAAGCGGTTCGCTGATCGAAATTTAGTCAGAGCACGAAATTAAATTTATAAGTTATATACGAGATACCCCAGGATGAACACTAAGCAAGCCTTTTTTACAATAGTTTTTCTCCTCGTTTCAATGCATGTAAGTATTATATTAATATAATAAAATTAAAAATAAAAGTAAATGTAATTAATTAATTAATTAACTTGAAGATTCTTCAGAGGATTTCGAAATGATTTCAAAAGCAATTTTTTGTGATCGCAGATAACCAAATGTCATTTAATGAGAAAACTATTGGAGAGGATAGATCTTCCGCAGCTTGGTCATCACATGCATAATAACATGTTCATCACATCGAAAGTATTTAAACCAATTTACGACAGGTTTAAAACTTACTTTATAAATATTCACCCACGTCTGGCTAATCGATCGAATCTTATAAATCGCATTAACAGTAAATGTATAAAAATCAATTCTCAAGAAATAATCGAACCAATCGCCGTTATCAATCCAATGGAAATGATTCCAATTGAAGATATTGGACAAATTAACGCTGCTTCAATTAAGCACGGTGATGTTATTCCGATTGAGCCGGTTAATGCTGTTCCAATTGAGCCGGTTGATGCTGTTCCAATTGAGCCGGTTGATGCTGTTCCAATTGAGCCGGTTGATGCTGTTCCAATTGAGCCGGTTGATGTTGTTCCAATTGAACCGGTTGATGCTCTTCTAATTGAGCCAGTTGATCCAATTAAGCAGGTTGATTGTATGCCAATTAAGCAGACTGATGTTACGCCAATTAAGCAGGTTGACGCGGATTCAGTTACAGCTTAAAAATTGTTTTGTATATTTTCTTTTTATATATTTTTAAAATGATTACTAACTTGTAATTTATTTACAGTTTAATTATTCGCATTGTAATTTCTCGATGAATAAACAATTTTGGTATGTATATTATGGTATTAAATTAATTTTATTACCACCTTCTATATAAACTCATCGACACTCTTCTCGGTTCTACGTCGCTTTGAAACAAAGTTTAAAAGTGTTTTGGCTCGGTGGTAGACCACGCTTAAAATCGTTGGAAGAAGCTCAACCATGAAACGAATAAATATTCGTGAAACTGCGCGGCAAATACGACTCCTAAGAGTGAGCCAACTCGATACAGTCCGTTTACTTCGAAGGAGAAAGGGAGGGAGAAAGAGAAAGAGAGAGAGAGAGAGAGAGAGAGAGAGAGAGAGAGAGAGAGAGAAAGAGAGAGAGAGAGAAAGAGAGAAAGAGAGAGAGAGAGAGAGAAAGAGAGAGAGAGAGAGAGAGAGAGAAAGAGACACTGATAATTAAGTTCCAAGCTTAATTGTCAAGCCTTGTTTCTGCTGCTTTTAACCTGATTTAAGTTGTAGAATTAAAAAGAAAAGAAAAACTACATCGATAAACTAAATGAAATACGATCGAAGATTTTGATCCTTAACGAAACTATACGATCACTAAATGTAGTAGCCAACAATACTCTCGATAATAATTACTGCTGGATATCAATACGGTAACGGTCAATGATGCTAATGAATAGGATTTTAGATCTCGTTGTCCTTGCTTGCTGCTTTCCATTTCTCGTTTGGTATATAGTTTATCCGATAGAACGTCAGTAGTTAGATTTTATTGCTTGATTAACGTTTATGTTCGATCGAATCCCTTATGGAAAGGTCGACGTACAAATTATTAATCAACGATTGATGGAATAACGAGTTCGTTTTATTGCCGTACGATAGCAGACGATAAGGAGACTATTAACGGTCGATAGATTGAATTATTTTTCCTAATAGAAACTTGCAAAACATGTTCGCAAATTTTTTATCTTTTCAAATAGGTATACGGTGGTAATAGATAATCTTTTAATACGGACGTCGAGGATCGATCGATAGATGCATGATTTTTAAGTGTTTCGGGAAAAAGAACGGTCGGTGGTAGGGTTGACGATTTCCGATCGAAATCCATTCCGTGCGTTCCTAGTCTTTCTTCCGGATCCACTGGTGGGCTCAAATTCGTACTTGGCTGACAGACGATCACAGAATTTTGAGCATCATCGATTATGGCAACTCTCGAAGCACCTGAAATAGAATTTCAAGCTAGAAACTAACTAGAATTTCATTGCGTATACGTAATAACTTGGCAAGTTCACCTTTGATAAACACCGAGCCACTTCCAGGTCTGCTCACGATCAACTCGTTGCGGAGAGATCCGCATAGGAATAGTTTCTTCGATGTATCGTCTGATGCAATTTCATCGTTGCTTTCGATCGCAACGATATTTGCATTTCCATCGGTAGCTCCCGTTATCGTTACTGGACTGATTAGCGATTCGAACTCGGTTGTCCTTGTCTCTAGAGAAACTATCCCAGAAGGTGAAGCAAAAGTTGTCGTGACTGGTGGAATCGTATTTAGAACGATCGGCTCGATCATTTCGTTTTGATTAAAAAGAGTTGCTTCTGTAGGATAAATTACGAACGATGATGATTTTTTCGAAGGTCCATCATTACTCATTGAAAAGTCTGTCCAAGGAATAGGATCTATAAAATAATGAGAAAGAATTTTTTCAATTTTATATCTAATTGTTTTATATAATATCTTGATACAATACCTTTTCTTAAGGGTGGAAGTATCGACGTTGACAAAATCGGAGAATTCGATCGAAACGATGAATTTTCCACGATATGCTCGGCTAAAATATTTCGTGCATTTTGATTAACATCTTTTATTTCTTGATGTGGCCAAATATCCCCACGAGTGAGAGAGAATAGCGTTATTGTCAAAAGCTTAAAAAAAAAGAAACAATATTAAATCATTGTTAATTATCTTGAAAAATTCGTAATATTAAAAATGAAATATTTATTTCAATATTAATTCCACGAATTATTAAAACGAAGGATGTAATGCAGTTTGTAGAAATGCATAGCTATGCATTGGTATATTGTAGTGTAGATAATCTAATGGATCATCTTACGTCGTTTCCACTATGAGTTTATCATCTTGTCTCGCGTCAGCACGTTGTATGATTTGAGAACAATATCCGGATATCGTTGCATCAGATCAGAATGAATATAGGAATATGCAAATGCAAACGTAGAGATTTGTGATATCTACTTTTGCAACTTACATATTTCTATTGATAAAAAAAAGAAAAAATAAATAAATAAATAAAATAATAAACGTGTAACATAATCATTGAGATATCCTTCAACAGGAGTGAACGTATGAATTCTATAAATAATACACTAATTAATTTTCTTACGACGAAGAAATAATTTTCACGGAGAAACGTTCGACGATATTACGCAATTTCTGTTCTGCAATTTTCAATGTAACATTATATAATAAGAATATAACTCGTAACGCATAACGTTTTTTAAAATTATATAATTTTTCGATAATTAATAATAAATTATGAACTGCAATATGTTAAAGCAGATAAAACTAATATATAAATTCAATATCTTTGAGTTGTTAATACCTTAGTAATCGATGATTTATTTCTTCGAAAAATTGATATCGTTAGAAATAGGAACTAGAGAGCGAATGTTCGAAGCAAGGAAGAACATAAATTTTCTCTGTTAACTATCGAGAAAGCATGTTCGATAAAGAACCATCAGTGGACTACGAAGCAAGTATGTATCCGCAAAGGTACTATAGTACTAGACACTTGAGAAAGATACTCTCCTAACGGACGGAACGAGGAAATAAGTAATTCTAGTTTCAACGTACACGAAGACGAGTACGATACTTTGTCGGTCGTATTTCATCGATGACACGGCCATTGCGTTACGAACAAACGAATTAAACTTTTCTCATCTGGCAACGTTAAAACGTTACGCCAACGCGAATTCCCTTTTCATAACGATTCCCCTTTCCTCGTCTATCTTTTTAATCTTTTTCTTTTAGTTCGGTCAATTTGGTTGACGAAGTACGATAAAGTTTCCTCCTCTTACCGATAACTTCATTCTCTTTCCTTTTTCGTGACTTTTTCCAAATCTTCTTCGAAGTATCTTTTGTAGGGATACCTCTACGCCCGTTGGATTCTACTTTGTTACTGATATTACTCGTGAGAAATTCCAACCATTATATACTCGAAGAGAAACGAAAAATAAATCTTTGATCATCACCTTGATCATCCTTTCAATGATTCCTTTGGAAAGGAAGGACAACGTAAAATAGAAGACGTTCACGTGCGATTGAAGCGTTGTGATCGATAACATTCCTTCTCAGTCTTCGGTCCCTCCATTGTTACCACAGCATTATCTAAATCCATTTCGAATATGGATTTATCCTGACTAAGCTGAATAGTCTATGGAATTAACCGCATTATGGATAACCGAATGAGGACTAAGAAGGATTTTCGAATGAATTTTCCGTGATCGAAAGAGTTTCGATATCAATGTTAGAGATATCAATTTTAGATTCAAAACATTTGTTTCATGAACAACGGGTTTTGTGATTTATCATTGGAAGCTATGCCACACCCGTTCGTTAACGACATACCACATGGAAAGTCAATGATTGCATTATTTCGATTTTTATCTCTGATAGTTTATTAAAGAGGTAGGGGAATAGAAGTATAAAAGACAAAGCAGGTCGAATGATGTTCATCGATTGACCGCTTTTCCTTCTGGAGTGTATTACATTAGCAAAGATAGAACATTAGAATCATGAAATTTTTAGTAAGTATAGACGTTATCTATATCTGTTGTAATTTTTCCATAAAATATATACATAAAGGGTTAAAAATAATCGAAACTCAAAAGAAATAGTAGGAATTATTATTAGAAAAGAGATTAGGAACATATAGAATACTTATGTTTTTTTCAGATCGTTGTTCTCGCTATGTTCGCGATGGTAGCGGCCTATCCGGAAAGAGAACGGCGTAGCGTCTGGGGTTGGCCTGCGGTTGCTCCCGCAGCTGCAGTGATCGGCCCGAAAGCTATTCCGGCTGCCGTGATCGGTCCTAACGCCGGTGCTGCGGTCGTATCTGCAGCTGCACCAGCGGTCATAGCAGCTCATGTTCCTGGTAAGCAGCCAGTATAACGTCGAATACTAATGACGAATTCGTCTTATCTTATTATCATTTATATCACCGTTTTTTACATTCTAATAGGAACATATTTTATATGTGTCATCTCGACGTGACATTCTAATGGGAACATATCTTGTATGTATCATTATATCTAACAAGAAATAATTTTAAGGCAAAGTGTTTCACTTACATGAATATACTCGAATGTGTTCCTATTGAAATGTTTCGTTTTGTAGATACTTATATTCGGAAAATCGAGTACAATAAATTGGTAACGTTATTGATCCATAAACGAATATCTTTTGTTAAACAAACAGACATATATATATATATATATATATATATATATATATTTATTCACTCATTCATTGAATATTCGTAAGATATTGACTTTAACGAAAAGGACATTTATAGCGGCAGCAGTAGTGGCCCCAGGAGCCGTTGTCGCTCCGCACATCTGGTAATCATGAGGGAATACTAACCGCCGTTGGATCTCACTGGAATAATTATACGGACCTTGCGCGTCACGATGTATCCTCTGGAATACGATGTCGTTCGACTTTCTCGATGTTGAACCCTTGTTCACCTTCGTCACTGGACTACCTCACTATACCGATGATTTCCCTCGATAATCTAACATATCGTGCTTTTACGTGATTGTTGCAATTATAAAAAAATATATGATCTGAAAACAGTACGCTTTATAAAATATCTTTTCTTCGATATTTGAAAAATATTTCATCGTTAATACAGCATGTAACTAAGAGACATTATTAATATATTCTTCAATAAAATAAATACTTTATAAATATCTGTACTTATTTGTTATTTACTCCATCATCTGAAAATAATGTTAACATACTTATTTAATGATAAACAATCTTGATTATATCTTTTTCGACCTATGAATCAATTCTCTAGATGATATTAAAATCAATTATTGTTAACATTACTTTTTGGATAAAAAAAATAACAAAAGCAAATAGAAACAAATATTAAACATAAAATCGATAACAAGAGATGGATTGACAAGTGATGGATAGTATCTATTTATATAAAATTGTTTATAATAATTGTTTATAATTCAAATTATTTATAATATAAATTATATATATACAATATGCATTAATTAAATAAATTTAGGTATAAAAAATTAGTCGTAACAATTTTTTATAACAAATTGTTTATAACAAATTGTTTATAACAAATTGTTAAAAATATATAGAATGTTTATATGAGTTATAAAGTCTTAGCTTTAAAAAAGTTTATCATATCAATTATTTATAACAAATTGTTTATAACAAATAATTAAATATATATACGATATATGCATGAATTGTATATGGCCTCAGCTTAAACAATTAGTTATGTCAATTGTTTATAAAAATTATTTATAACAAATTGTTAAATATATTTTTACAATATATGCATAAATTATATACGGCTTTAGCTTTAAAAGAATTAGTTATGATAATTATTTATAACAAATTATTTATAACAAATTGTTCCAAATGTATATAATGTTTATATGAATTATATAGTTCTAGTTTGAAAAAAAAATTTTTATTACGTTAATTATTTATTATTATTAATTATTTATTATAATTTGTAAAACAACTAGTTATATAAACTTGTAAAATAAAGAAAAATTTTCTCTTTAAAATGGTTTTTGTTTCAAGTCTCTACGACTCTCGATTTTGAAGATATTCTAATATTAATGAAAAGTACTTACGCTGATACACTGACCTATATAATTTCTTTCAAAAACGGTATTAACACAGTGACCTATATAAATTCCTGGAATTTAATTGTTTTTACTATTTACTATGGTTTGCGTACTATGGCTTGCGTACGCTCATACTCTACGTTACTACAGATAGTACATGTTTATTGAGAGTTATAAATGACAAATTAAAAGGAATATATCTTCAGAACGAAAAGTCACAGAGAGTTGAATAGAAAGACCATTTTAAAGGAGAAAATACTCTTTTTTCATTTATTATTATTCAGATACTATCGATATAATAAGATTGATTTTATGATGCAATTGATTGAGTTATCAAACTAATCGATTCATCGAGATAATAAAACATGACAAATTTAATAAATTTAAACGAATATATTAAAGTATTTTTATGTTTGGATCGAACTGTATGCTTCTTCGTAACAATGAAAAAAGTATTTTTAAGCTTTTTTTCGAAGTTAGCAAAAAACTACGATAACGATAGAGGGTAAGAATTGTTTTAAATAGAAAACTTTAGGAGTTAAGAATTCTCGTTTTCTCTTGGAAGACAAAGGTTAGATATCGAAAAAGAAGAAAGTCGAAGAAAGTATTGTGCGGAGGTTCTTTTATTTCAATAAGAATAGACGCAATGTGGAATAAGAAAAAATAAGAGATGCTCAAAGAGTTGCTAGGAGCATTATTCTTGCGAGTCATTGAGCGAGGTATGATAATAATAGACCTAATAAGTCGTTGAAGGGGATCGTTATAAGTTTCGCTCGAGAGGATAGCGTTTAATTGCTTAAGGTTAAAACTCGTAGTCGTGTTTCCATGATCTCAAGCGCGTCCTTCCGCAAAGACAAAGCCAAGAGTAGAAAGTTCAGGAGAAGTCTCGAGCTGAGACGAATCTTCTTCAAAACTCATATCAACGTAAGACGAGGCGGAAAATCGTTGAAATCGTAGAAACCAACCGAGAGTAGAATAGAGGCTTTTTCTTTTACCAAATGCCATGAGCTAGTGCACCAGGAGCGACAATTGCTCCAGATGGTCCAGATACAACGGCGGACCCTACAAAATGATCGAACGTTAAATTAATTTAAAAATCATAACAAATTAATATCTATATAAACTTATTTAATTATAAATAAATTAATAATAATTTCGACTTACCATGAGCTGGTCCGACGACAGCAGCGGAGCCTGCGGAGGGTCCAACGACAGCTGCGGAACCAGCAGAAGGTCCCACTACAGCAGCAGAACCCGCTGAAGGTCCAACGACAGCAGCGGATCCAGCAGAAGGACCAACTACGGCTGCAGAACCAGCTGAAGGACCTAGTACTGCTACCGATGGTGCAGCCGGTGCAACAACGGCAGCAGCTGGGGCAAGTGCAACACCATGGCCTAAACCAAGGACTCCTAATCCCCAACCTAAGGACCGACGTTCGCGTTCCGGCGAAGCCGAAGCGATCGCGATTACAGCGGCAATGAGGATCTATCGGAAAAACGAACAAGATCTTTATATTGATCTATCTTTAATCGATCGAGCCAATTACTCACCAAACACTTCATGATTGTTCTTGTCGATGAGTCCTGTTAGGCTTCACTGATGTCCAACCCTTCAATCAGCCGCTCTTATATACTTACTCAACAACACTATCATTCTCGTCAACCTTCAACCCCTCTTAAAAATATCTAATATGGTAAGGTGCGGCTCCTGTTCTAAATGACATTAGAATATAAGATCAAAATTCCAGATCCATCGGCGACCGAGACCTTTATATTTTTTTCAACTTGTTAAGCTGGCATTCCTCTAGTCTAGAACGACCGGTTGTCTATTATTTTTATAGTAATATTCTTATAAGATTACTTTTCCTTCTCGTCTGGATTTTCTCGAATGCAATCTTTTTCTTTTTTTATTTATTTATTCTCTTTCTTTCTAATCGTAGTATCTTTTCATGAAAAAACCAAACGTTTCTGCGAGTATTTCTTGTTTTTCGATAAAATGAAAATTATTATATTATTCTTATTCTCTTTCTTGAAAAGATGTAATTGAATATCCGAAAGAGGAAGCTAAATTAAACTCTGAAATTTTCGATACGTTATTGTCGATACGCAAATTTTCTTAGAGAATTTTTATTCTTAGATTCTTCAGTGGATCTTTAGTCTTTCCTGGGAACGAAGAGTCGAAGAAGCTGTGAAAGAGGATTGCCTTAGAAGAAGTTAAAGGAAGAGTGCGGTTAAAGGGTGGTTATTGAAAAATTCATAGATTCGAGCCCCTTTGTGTCGATTTCGAAGCGATGGATTTCTTTTCAAAAAGTATTCCTTTCGAAGGCGAAAGATCTTTCATGTACATACGTATGTACATATATTATATATAGATATATACATATATATAGTGAGTCATAGAAATATTTATAATTTTTAATATGATTTTTAAAATTAAACAACTTAATCTAAATCAAAGAAAAAATTCGTAAATTATTATAGTATACGAACTGTGTTTATTTTGTTTGTTTCTTCTTTTTTCTCTCTTTTTTTTTTTTTTTTTTTTTTTTTTTTGTTAAAGCGAGTGCACACATATACATTTTATTGATTGCATTGAAATATTTTCATCGCTCGTTGTACTACTACATTAATGCTTATGTTACTATACACAGATGGGTAGAGTTCCATTTTTTTCCCTGTCAATCCCTCATCGTAATACATCTCGCCAACAATTATTACACCATCAAAGGGTCGGGACAACGTCACATTCGTTTTGAAGTATGTACTTTTATTGGCATAGTACAATATCGAATTGTGGAATATATCGGATCGGTCGATAGGGAGCATCGAAGTGCAAACACAACGGTTCTGCGATAGACTGAAAATAATTAGTGCGGTGAAACAATTATCGAGTGGTGCCAGCGGTGAATGGATGCCAGCCACGATATCGGCACGATTCGGAAGCAAACGGTTTTCGGTAAATGCTTCGTTCCCCTATCTGTATTTATATATCTCTATATGTGTGTGTATGTGTGTATGTGTGTATGTGTCTCTGTGTATATATGCTGCGTGTTATAAAGCAACGAGTGGTAACGTGGAAACGGAGAATTAAATAGAAGGATCCGTTTACGTTACTGGATCGATGAGACGAAACGAGACAATAAATTTTACGTTAACTTGAATTCTTATCAATTTTAATTATGTCCATCCTCTAATTAGCAAAAATTCTTTCATTAAAGAATCTGTTGTACTTTAGGATATTTGCTCGTTAAAATGTTAGACGCGTCGAGTCATTACGTACGCCAGCTTCGTTTATCTTCAACGGAAGTGAGTCAACTCGTTGCGGAGAACCAAGTTCCGTCGTGGATATTAACGAGTCAAGATAGCGAAGAATAAACTTTAATGATTCATTATACCTACGTTCAACTAATTTCAAAGACGCCGATCGACGAAGAAATTACATGTTTTCGATCGAACGCCTTAATAAATGTGCTATTGTTATCGAATCAATGTTTCGCAAGGTATCTGTTATTGGTATTATTAATGCATCCTTTGGATAAATGTTAGATCTTTACGTAATTTCTCTGGTCAAATTAACGAATTGCTCATTGAATAATAACGAATTATACAATATAATGATAATAATAATAATAATAATAATAATAATAATAATAATAATAATAATAATAATAATAGTAATAATAATAATAATAATAATCCATATATTGATTATTAATTAATATTGTGTCTTTTTCAGAATTATGTATAAAATATTTTTTTTTATTTTTTTTTTTCTTTTTTTTTTTTTTCTTTTAATTATAATTCGATCATTACGAAAAAGAAGAAAATAAAAGAAGAAAATCTACCGTAAAATATCAATGCTTTCCGTTAAGTCATTAAGTAAGAAGAAAACTGCTACGATTTCTACCGTTATACGTCCTTGAAGGAAGAGTAAGTAGGTACGAGAAAAGGACTCGATGGAGCGCGAAAAGGAACGCGCTCGGGCGTAGTTGCGATGGCCGTACTTGGCAATGAAACGATTACAGCTCCGTTACACCATTAGATTCGTCGTATAACGAGGCGAAACGACTACGACGGCTATAAGGTCGTGTGTCGTGTGCCGCGTGCCGGCACGAGTCATGAGCATCGTTAGTTGCCTTTACACGTTGGAATATATTTCTTCTTTCTATGTACATATGTATACGAATACTTGTATTTCCATACATACTCGTTTTCACAACGTAGGCGTTTAAAATCACGATGCAAGTGCACCTTCGAATCTCGTAACTTTTACTTCTTTTGTTCTCTTTTTTTTTTTTCTTTTTTCCCCATACAAATCTACAATATCTTATCTCGAGAATTCTTCTTTTTTCGACTTTTGAAATATTCATAGCGAAATAAAAAGAGAGATAGAGAGAAAAATAAAGAGAGATAGATAAAGAGAGAGAGAAAGAGAGAGAGAGAGGGAGAGAGAGAGAAAAAAGAGTACGAGGTAGTTTGAAAAGAAAATTCTTCGAATATATTATTTAAATTATTCTAATCGATTTGTCCACATCTAACTCTTTATCTTCTAAATTACATATTTATTGGTTATTTAATCATTGTAAAAAGACGTACAAAAACGTAGTATAATATTCAATGAGATTTACACTTATAGAATAATTTTCTACCATCCGTGAAGCGTATTGACAGCAGAGATTACAGCACCGTGGGCAACGCCATTCGTAGAAACGATTCCACCATCCGGACCAGCAACTACAGTAGTTCCCGCAGGCGGAACACTGACAAGAGATGCTGTCGCTGCGTGAGGTGTTGCGATCACTGTACCATGCTCCAATCCATTATCTAAAACAATGTTTCCGAATAGAATAGTTTACAAAATATAAGTGGATTTATAAGAATATTTTTTAAAAGTCATCTTCCATATTTCATTTGTTCATTATTTTACATTATACACTTTTGTCGTTAATTCATTAGATTATAATAATTCTTACCTACGACTAGAGCACTCAAACCTAGAGATGGTTCAGAAACAAGAGTTGGACCAGCGACGGAGCCAATTACCGCAGACGGTCCAGCAACTGATCCAGATATTACAGCAGATCCAGCGACAGCACCACTTACGGCAACGGGTCCACTGACTGAACCAGCGACAGCTACTGATCCTTTATGAGGACCAATCACAGCTGTACTAGGTCCTATGATTCCACTTGGTGCACCAGAGGCTACACCAGCGATAACTATAAGAACGATCTAAAAATGCCGATATTTTTTATTAACTCATAAATATATTTTCGAGTGTAGCGTTAATGAAATGATAATATGCTTCTACCAAAGGTGTCATTTTTCTTCTTCTTATTCTTCCTTCTCTCTTTCAAAGACTAATAATTGTACGATCGACATTCAAGCTTTTATACCACCTACTGACCCTGAATCACACCCTCTATTATTTTTTTCAACCATTTAAATGTCACTATCGCTTTATAAATAAATCCCATCGGTCGAAGAGCTAACCATTTCACCGGTTGTCCAGCTCGAAGAACAGAACTCGAAAGCGGAAATTAAAAAAAAAATCCGAACTACGAGAAACGTCATTATTGTCGATCCGTTGTCTGCCAGCATGACTCGCGGTATTGCATTTGAACTTTTGTTCGTCTCTATTCTACACCAATGTCCACGCGGAGAATACTCGGCTGATTGCACCGGCGCTGAGGCAATTTCCTACGATTACTGGCGGCAGACCATCGGATTGAAGTCAAAGGTGGACACGATCTGCTGTGCCGGAGATAGCATTGGACCTACTGATACAACGACACAATGGACTGCGAAATAGAGCTTAGAGACGGTTGCACATCTCTAAGATATCACTGTTCTGAAAAGAAATTGCTAACTCTCGGACGGATGTTTCACCTTTTAATCGCGATCCCTTGGGTCCAATCACGTATGTATCTCAGACACATTACTATATTATATATTCATGAAGTGATATTATTTATCTAAGTTAATTACGATCAATTTCGATACAAGATTTTCTCCTAATTCTGGCATCATAGCGTACAATTTTTCTTTTTTTCATTTGCTCCATCATTCATTTAACTGCCTGAATGTTTTCTCATTCTATTCAATGTGATGGTGAATACTTTGTATAGATTTTATAATTCAATATTTTTTCTCTTAAAGTTTTAGACTGATAGGACATTTTGTGTCGATATAATTATAAATAATAAAAGTTCATTTAAAATTATTCTCTACTATTATATTTGCATTTATTTTTATTATATATGCATTATATATGAACGTTTGTTATGTACATAAAACATATAAGAGGTTCGAACGATAGGGAGGTATTTGCGGTATAATGGCGGAGATCACTGTGTGTTCGGTTTTAAAATGGCATGGGTCGTAGGAGATCAGTCAATAGTCGTCGGGTATTCTTGTATAACCGAGTTGAAACTAGTAATGGCCAGCACGTATTATTCCACCGAGACCAGCGGATCCGGCTGCGATGCTACCGGAAGGTCCAGCGATGAGGGCCGGTGCAGCAATGGGCCCGGATAGGGCAGCGGGTCCGGCCGCTGGGCCAGCAAGAACCGCACCTGGAACAAACGTCGTGACATTTTAACGCATATTCGCCTAGGTGTCACACGGAAAGAATTATTGAACACGGAAGAATGGATGCTAAAGTGTCATGCTGATCTATCGTCGCTAACAAGATCTGACAAGATCGGTATTCGTTAAGTCACGCCTTTCGAAGAAACTGTTTTCAAACTGAGATGGATTTATGAAGCATTGTAAATTCATTGAGGACAAATGACGAGATAAAAAATAAAATAACTGGCTGACGTCTATAGATATAACTTGTCTATTCCGCAATGTATGGCGTAATAAATGAATTTCAAAATCAAAATACTCACCAGGCCATCCCAAACCAAGAAGCGGAGCATGAGCTGCAGCAGCTGGCCATCCAAGAGCAGGTCCAACGACGGCGGTGCCAGGAGCGATGCTACCAGAAACTAGAGAGGGTCCAGCGATGGAACCAGTGACGACGGCACCTCCGTCGACTGCTCCGGATACTCGAGCGGGTCCAACAACTGGTCCCGAAAGGGCGGCTGGGCCGAGAGCCGGACCGGCTAGAGCTGCGGCACCAAGAATTGGCCCTGCAAGGGCTGCACCGGGTGCCCAGCCCGAAGGTGCAGCTGCTACGGCCGAAAGGATGGCCATCAAGATGCTTGCTAGTAGAGTACACATCGTGCTGATTGAATTCGGTGGGTTATCGAAAGGGTTGATAGAATCGATCGGAAACTCCTTGCTTGCTTTTGCTTGCTCTGACCGATCTGCTCTATCTAAACGTCGTCGTCGACGAGCTTTTATACGAGATCGAGTATTGTCTCCGGTCTCGTTCGACGATCCATACTCCCTCTTATTCTTTGAAGCCGAAGGCGGGGCACGGGACACGCCAAACATTCTCCGCGGAGCTACCCGTCGCGTGGCCGTTGACACAACGGACCTTATCAACCTCGAACCACCACCCATTGAGTCTCTGTATCGAATGCCTCTGACGCCTCACCTGTATTTTACCTCCTACCCAAGCATGTCACATGTTTTTCTTTTTTCTTTTTTTTTTTCTACTCTCCATACATTTGCTTCCATTACATTTGCTCCCTTTATCTTACAACGAAACGATAACCATCCATATCCGGCTTCTGTTCGCTTGTACCTCTTGCGAAATAATACTTAGTTATTTAATACTCACACGATCGATTTTCAATATTAGGCAGGTACGCGAATCGTTTCATTCTACAGGAAGTAAAAAGAATGGCAATTACTATTGTTTTGATGTTTCGATTAGCATACAAGAATGAAACGGCGACCGATAACGCATTATTACATGTAAATCGCATGTAATAATTTGCCCTACGAACATCGAAATTTCTCTTGGTGATTTATTTGCATGTCTGACGTTCCTTTCTTTCTCACCTATCTGATAAATATCGAAATGTTATTTTCGATCTACCAAGCACCGATAAATCTCCTAAGTTTATGATCGTACCCTTAGAACTTTTATCACTACTTTAAGATCTATGGGAGCTTTAAAACGTAGCAACGAATAATTATGAGTATGCTCCTATGATATTGCGATGGTTCCGCGATCGTTTTATCCCTAACACTTATCCGTATTTTGAACATTGAACGAGCTTTCCAAGTTACGTCTTGATCATATATCTTTATCGTAAACTTTGATCGCAAATCTTGATAAAGAGGATACTATTAAGGATGATCTCTTTGATCTCGAAAATTATTTGTGATTTTTTTTCTTTTGTTTTTCCTAAAGATAGAAAAAATCTCTGTCTTTATAATAGAGGATTAGATGCATTATCCATCACGGATCCGTTTAGGCGAGGCACAGTGCCCACTCTCGTCGATAGTGAAAAGAACGGAGATCCATTGTAGTCCGATGCAAGTGGCGCAAGTGGTGGTGGTACGCATTGAACGTCCTGTCGCGGAGCCAAGTTCGTAATGGATCACCGAGTGTGCTCTATGGATCGCGTTCGGAATATCATTACTATACTTCGACTCCCAACAAGGTGATTACGATCAGCAAATTTCTTTCGCACCTTTCCTGTAGTCTTATTCTTGTCATCGCCGTCCTCACCCTCGTCATCGTTCCAACTTCAACGAAAGTTCAATCTCGCGAACCCATTGTTATAGGAATAGATCAGGTGATTACATTTTATTGGTTATCGTTAATAACGAAGCTCTTACGTGGGCGTCCTTGAATGAGAAAAATCTGAATTATGATGAAAATAATATTTAAAATTATAAAAGATAATAGCTAGTAATAATATTAAACTATTTTAAAAATCTATCGTAAAGATAGTTCGTTCATATTTTCAGTAATTCTTCGATATTACGAAATTCGACATTGGAAAAAGAAATATGCACCTCCGACGTGTTATCACTTTTTCGAACTTGATATTGGAATCGAGCGAAGAAAGTTCTTTACGTTCGACGTAAGTAATCGTTTCACGACTGACTTACCGGCAAACTTTTCGGATTCTATCCATCCAATTCTTTCCGAAGAAGCAAAAGTTCTATTTCCTTATAACTGGCTGTAAACTGTGGTCAAAGTTTCATTCTCATTGCTCAATTTCAAAATTCGTTTATTTGGCAGATTTGTAAAAATCGCTACCATATTGAGTATGTATAATCTACTATGATCATAAATCTTTTTACTTTTATTTATTTATTTATTTATTTATTTATTTTGTTTTTTAATTTCTTAACTTATTTATTTGCTTTTAAATACAAATTATACTTTGGAAATTTATCGTTATTGTCGGGAAAGAAATAAAAATAAAAGAAAATCCATGGCCATGTAAAAGTAGATACCGATAAAATTGTTCATGACACAACGAATACATTGTTGAGAAAGATGAAAAGGGAAGAGAATATAAGCGTAGGCAAGATTCTCAGTCGGATCGAGATCTATTCCAATAGAGATCGGTTGGTCCAAAACGGGAACGCACTTGCGTCACGACGAGTTTCTATCCTTCTCGAAGATTTTTCTTTTTCCTTGTTTTATTTTTTCTTTCTTTCTTTTTTTTTATCGTACTTCCCTCCTTTTTTCGCCTTCACGGTCCAAGAGATAGTGACACGAAGTCGAAGCAGGTTGGAGCAGCCCCGCCTTTTCACCCTCCTCTTTCAACAAGTTCACCGACCCACGTGCCTTCGCGAGCCGTCGATCGGTTCGTATAAAAGCTCACTTAACATCAGCTTGCGCGACAATGTCCCGTCGCGATGCTCGATGGAAAGTTGCCGATCGATCGATCAAGAGAGCTAGAGAAATAGAGATAGAGATAGGTAGATAGATAGATAGAGAGAGGGAGAGAGAGAGAGAGAAAGAGAGAAAGAGAAAAAGAGAGAGAGAGAGATAAAGAGACATAGAGAGAGAGAGAGAGAGAGAGAGAGAGAGAGAGAGAGAGAGAGTGATCAGTCGCTCGCACAAATCGAACAAACGGATCCTGACGGGAGGTCAGCAAGATGAAAGCTGGAAAGCCCAGTTGAACGAGCTTTTCCGGACACTCGACGTTCGACCCTCTTTCGAATTCCTCGTTAAGGGGGAAAAACTCCACTTCTTCCGGTGAGTACAATAGAATATCACCGATACTCGTTTTCTGGTTGCGTTCGAACCAGACTATAACAAGAGGAAGATAAAGAAAAATGTTCTCCTCGTTCTCTTTATTTTTTTCTTCTGACGTCCTGTATCTCGAAACGTGGCCGATGACAACGATGAACTATTTCTCTCCTTCTTTCTCTTTTTGCCTCTCTCTCTCTCTCTTTCTTCCTCTATCTATCTATCTATCTATTTATTTCTTTCTTTCTCTTTTTTTCTCTCTCTCTCTCTCTCTATAAAACTGAATCATTAGTTCACCATTGCAACCTTCCTTACGTTGGTAAAATTTAAATCGAATAGTCGAGGTCCTCGAAAGTACTGAAATTGTAACAAGAAAAAAGAAAACGTACTATATATTTTTTCTTTTCTTTACATACTCATTTGAGCGTTTCTTATCGAAGGTTCATCATTAAACCAAGACGATGGATCGACGAAGATCGAGGAAGAATAGTTGACCGTGGATGACGATAGAAAAGCATCGTTTATCGGCCACGCCTTTTCTTCTACATTTTCACGCTCGACGACAGACAGATGGAAAACAATCGCTAACTTTCTTCGTTTTATGTCTCGAGCTCGAATCGATCCTGAGGAATGTCGTCTCGAATAGAGCACGGGTAGCCGACGCGACTCGTTCCTAACTCTGACCTGAACTACGTAACGTGTCGAGTGATTTATCGTGACGCCAAGGTTAATTTTTAACATAACTATCACTCTATACGGATGTTTAGAAGAAAAAAAAAAGACAAAGAAATAATCTAACTCCGTACATTTATACCATTATCTACCTCATCTTTTCCTCCTTAAGCGAACGACATGCTGTTTCGATCGTATATATGTTAATATTCGATATAACAATGGATGACATGTATATTATTGTACATTTGAAGATTGATCGAAAGATTATTGAAATAAAGAAAGAATTACAATGAATCAAAGAGGAGAAATATTTTATTTAACATTTATATTGTGTTAAATAATTTCGTTCTAACGATCATTGCACGATGACAATGTATCTATTTAGATACTTGGTTTATTCTTATAAAATATATCGAAAGCAAGAAAACAAATTATCTTTATTATCATTTGCCTCGAAATAATCGAATATTATATAATTATGCTTTCGCATGAGTAATACCGTATTTCTTTATTATAATTATATATAATTACGTATAATCAACAAGATAAAGTCTTACAGCAAGAGTCGAGTACTTATGTAAAAATCGTTTAGACATCGTTTCTTCTCTTCGTTTTTAATGTAATTATTACCATATTAAAAAAAAATAAGAAGAAATTATTGAAAGTAATTTTCGATCCTCAGTGCTACTTCTTTAGATTTAACCCGCTTCGATGAGTACTCGACCGGCACAAATGGGTGACCTTTTGGAATTCTTGGGGGTGCGGTTCTATTCTCGCAATACGTCACGAGCAAAGGGAACGACGAAAGGAGTGAAAAGGAGTGGAGAGGAGAGGAAGAGGAAAAGGGATTACGTAGCGGTAGTCTGGTCTCGCGCTAATGCACTGAGATGTATTCGCCTAGATGCATTGGAGACGGCGCTCTTCGAACGGACTACGATGGGAACGACGTGGCCTGTGAGTATCTGGATAAAATATTTCGAAAATAGAGCTGCACTAAGGAGACGTCTTTAATATGTTTTTTTTTATCTTTTACAATAACATATCGATTCGATTGACAGTTCGATCGATTGATCGATCGTTTTCTCTAATAATATTGATTATTTCTATCAAATATATTTTAATAGGGAAGTATATAAATAAATTTTATCTTATGATAAATCGATCGATTACAAAGAAAAAGAATTCATCTGATTCTATTCTACATAGATTAACATGTCCATTTTACATGTCAGTCATTTTATTTTCATATAAATTTCTATTAAAAGCTCCTTCTTTGTTGTCAAATTTTTTCCACCAAATTCCTTAGTAAATTTAATTACATTTAATGCATGCGAGTATCGTCCGTTCTGCACAAGTATCTTGCGTGGAAATTATAACAGATTAAAAAGGATGCGCCCCTAAAAAGAATCTCTAATTCCTGGAAATCTCTTAGTTCCTGGAAATGTTTTTACAGAAAGAGAACACATTTATTCTTCTCGTACAAGGGGAAACCATCGTTATAAATACGCATATTCAGCTGAAAGCACCGCGAATGCTCCTAGCGTCGTCGTGAAACTGTGCGAACGATATTTCAAAAGAAAAGATAAAGAGAGATAGTGAAAGAAAAAAAGAAAAGAGAGAGATAAAGAGAAAGGGAAGAGAGATAAGTAATAATATCAAGTTAATGAATGACATTGTTGGTGTTGGAGAAAAGGTTTGAAAGATATCAAAAAAAAAAAAAAGAAAAAAGAAAAAAGAAAAAAGTTAAAAAAAAGTATAAAAAAAGAAAATAGAAGGAACGAACCTATCATCATCATATATAGAAAATAATTGGTGAACGAGACATCGAGTATTTTTGGACATTTTTAAATGAGTTTCAAGGGACAATACACTCGTTACCAATGACCGTGATTATGCAATCCAGCATGAACGCCACCGTATCCGGCACCATGAGCTGTGATTTTTCCCGAGGGACCAGCAATGATCACCGAACCGGCATGAGGACCGGCGACGGCCGAGCCGCCAGAATGAGGTCCTGATACGACGGCGCCGTGGGACGCAGGTCCTGCGAGGACAACGCCGTGTCCTGCGTGTCCTGCGTATCCTGCGTTTCCTGCATATCCCGCGTAACCGACGTAGCCGGGAGAACCCGCGTAACCGTAACCTGCGTGTGAATTATTAATGCTGCTTAATTACTTTAGAGTTAACACATTTAACGATAGTCACTCAATTCTGTAGAATTTATTTAAAACTCTTTTAAAATCTCTATTATTATATTTCGATAAAATATTCGAATAATAGTAAAGTCTAGTGGAAAAAGTATGATTAAGAATTCTTTTGTATCTATTATTTAAAAAAAAAAAAGAAGAAAAATTGATAGCAGATAATAGATGAATATATTGAATTATGTGATTCTTTCAATACTCAACATATTAACTATTTAATATATTATATAAATCATATGTAATGAAGAAAATAGATAAAATGTCAATTTCAAAGTGAATATCAAAAAAAGATAAATAATTAGTTACCGGCGAAAGAAGGAGAGTTATAGTATCCACCATCGTATGGTCCATTGTAACCTTCGACATATGCAGGTCCAGCAACGGAAGCAGTAACAACGGCTGGACCAGCGACAGCACCAGATACGTGAACTGGTCCAGAAGCTGAGCCTGATAATTTGGCTGGTCCAATCGAAGGTCCGGAAAGAACGGATGCTCCAACGCGAGGACCAGCCACACTTGTATGACCTAGTAATGGTCCTGCCAAGGCAACACCGTGTCCAGAGTATCCAGCATGATAACCATGTCCATAACCACCGTAGATTTCTCGACGTTGTCGCGAGGATGGTGATCCAGCTGCGTATGTGCACAGCACAAGGATGATCGCCTGAGATATGAACTTTTATTCGGTGAGTTTGAGCTTTATCATTTCCAAAATTTTCATAATGTTTAATTTTCTATAACCTAAACCTAAAAAAATTATATTATATAAAACTCTAATAACTTATACTTAGCAAACATGGCTACTTAAATATGAATCAATAATTGATATTGTGGCAAAAAAGTAATACTTAAAAGATACAAATTTAAGACTGTCTTCGATCGAATAAAACGATTGACAGAGTTTCGAAACATTGTAAATATTGAGAGATCATCGAAAGTTAAAAAAAAATTAATGGAGTTTGAAAAGTGGAATAGAAGACGAAATGTATACTTACTAGGAGGGCTTTCATCTTGCTGAGCTCTGATCGTTGAATGTATCGACGGTTTTCTTCGACGGAGTTTATATACCTACTGCTGTAGAATCTCGACCGCGCCCCCGTTGATCCCTTCAAATCATATTCGTTGTGGTGACTCGAGCATTGTGCAAGAAGCTCGTCATCCGGCACACCTACCCTCAGGATATGGTCCTTTTATGCATGACCTTCGAGTCGTCCAAGTATAGTAAATCCCGTGAAAATTATGTTAAATGTTTCCTTCGTGTATCTATATTTATCTACCTACTATCTTCTTCGAATTTAACTATTAATGACTTTGTGCTTTAATTAACTAATAATCAGTTTATTATTTACGAAATATTTAACCGTTAGTTAGTCTATTAATTAGTTATTTTATTGATGAAGTTTAATATATTGTCAATACAATAATAACTCCAAGCGAATAATTATTAGTTTTCAGTATAATCGATATCATATCGTATTCCCTTGTTATTCAGTTCTCTCATAATTATGTTCCATGATTAATAGACTATTAACTATTATCAACTTATATACATTGCAGAAAAGGACCGAACGTGTTCTTTTCATATAAATTATTAACGATTGATAAATATCTTGGTAAAATAATAAATTTGGTAAGTCTGAAATCCATATGATAAAATCTATCTCGTTTCGTAAAATAACTCTTAAATTTTCTCATACTTTTTGATAGGATGAGATTAAAGCAACCGCAAAATCAAAGTGCCGCGAGGAGTCTTTAAACGTTACTTTCAAAGGTAGCACAAGTTTCCATCAAGACGTTTCAATGAAATATCAGAGTCGTGGATCTTCTCAACGCTTCAACAGACGGAACGATTGGAACTTTTCTCTTTCGATAAAAAAAATTTCTAAATGACTGCACCATATAATATTATATCACGATTCAAATAGTTTAGAAGAGTAAAATTATATGTTTCTCGCATTAAGTCAATGTCGAGGGAGTAGGAGAGAGAGAGAGAGAGAGAGAAAGGGGGGGGAGAGATGTTCTCAATAATTAATAGGATTCTCATAGCAAAGTACGACTTCGACCTTTAAATCGCGAAATATCGTGCGATCTGAACTGTTCTAGTTTCGTCGAAGTGCACTTTCATCTTGCTTCTCTGATATTATCTTAAACATAAAAAATCATATTGACTTAGTTACTTATATACGTTGGTCTTGAAAAATATTAATTCAAGAGTTATAAATTGACATCGAAAGATCTTCTTCGTCATGATTCTCGTAAATAAACGTAATTTAATGCTTTAAGGTTACCGCGATCTATTAAACTAAAAACATAGAAATACTAAAGGTATTTATATAAAGAAAAAAGTTCTATCGTATATATTGTTAATGTTTTCAATTTAACGTAATTTACTAAGTATCTCATGTTACGAAGAAAATAAGATATGTAATGTCCGTTAGTATTTCTACGATTAAAGTTCATAGAAGACAAAGAAGCTCGTAAGAGGTGAATTCTCGACCTTTAAAATGACGTGTAACAAAGAGAAGAAAGATAGAAAGAGAGAAAGAGAGAAAGAGAAAAAGAGAGAAAGAGAGAGAGAGAGAGAGAGAGAGAGATCGTATCCGATCTAGTTCCATTCGATTGGCACCTTTTTATGGGTGGTGTAGCATCGATTCTCGATTTTATCCAAAGAATGAGAAATCTTGCTCTGAAATTCGTAGGTTCGTGTTCATCGGAAGAACACCACGATTGAACGTGATCGATGTTAATGGTGAGACTGACATTTCCAGTCATTGTCTGTCGTGCTCACACCACCGGACTCGACGCAATCGTTATGGTTTATGGGAGTAACCTCCGATCATACCTCATTGTGGGATACGTGGCCGAAAGCGTTTGCGATAACGATTACTGCGTTATGTTACCACTTTCATGAAAGTTCGACAGATGTGGAAATTTGGAACGATTTGAATTCGAATTAATGTACGTTGATTGTACTTTAGACTTACGTTGATATTATTGATGAGAAAACTTTATTAATTTACATAATTATCTAATGATACGAAGAGACCATGAGAAATCGTGGAGGTTGAATTAATGGAAATATGCTATGTAGTAGAATTTTAATATTTCTCAGAGATATCTAATGACCTTGGCCGAAAAAATTCTTCTATGTCATAATAACTTGTAAACAAACTCTTCTAAGAATGCTCTTCCATAGTAATTACCACCCTTGAAAGTGAAAGGACTACGCCTCTTCGATCGGTCATTACTATAAGGCTTGCTTGAATTCCAAGCACTTAATGGCAGGAATTACGAAATGTTTTTTCTTTTTCTTTTTCTTTTTATTTTTTTAAACGCCCACGTTAAAATTATGTTTATGCCGTTTATTACTACTTAGCGAATATAACTTTTGTAACAAATTTAGTTTTTCTAGTTATTTATTCTATTGTTAATATTTTTTATTATTGCTACGTAAACTTTATTTATTCGAATAAATTACGATCCATCGAGGTTTTTTCGAAACGTCAAAAGATATAAATTTGCTAACATATTACGCGACAAATGCTCAACTATTAACGTAGATATTAAACGAGAAAGTTTTTAAATAGCAACGTAATAATGCTTTGCAAAAAAAACAATGTATGTATTCCTTACGATAATCAATTTCTAATCATATAAATTATAAAATATCAATGTATATCACGGATTCTCATCAAATATCAAACACGTATCGTATAATATAATATTGACAAGGAAAGAATAATGAACATATACGTGCCATCCACTCTTTTTATTTCTACAATGAAGAATATTGGTTTCGTTAAGCAAATGTGGTTTTTCATAAATTTTATACATCATCAGATGTATTAATTTATAATTCTATTTAATTTACAATTTTTACACGAAGCATTGAAGTTGTTGAAACGTAAGTGCTTACACAGACCTTTACAATGCTTGGATAAGGATCATTATTTTTGTTAAGTTTATTTTTATATCAAAAAAAAAAAAAAAGGCGATAGTTTATACATTGGTGGTATAAGGATTGCTATTTTTTGCCATCTTTATCTTGTAACTGAAGAGATCGATTATATTACTTTGAACGACGATATCAATGTGTGATAATATTATATATACATAGATATTTGATGAATTTTATTATATTTTAATAAAAAAAAATATGTTTTATATTATATATAAAATTATGCTATTAATTATAATGTTATCGCATATTGAATGGCTGGTTATCACATATCATACAGTAAAAAAACAGCATTTCAAAACAGCATTTCATTATTAAATAAATAATTAGAAAATATTAAAAGTACTAAAAAATAATATTGAATATTAAAAAATATTTAAAAATTTCTGATTGACATTTATATAAAAACAGGTACATATTTCAAAAATAATATATGTATATTTAATGATGCAAATATATATATTTAATTACTGTTAACGAAAAGATTAAGATAAAGGTAAATAAAAACTATAAAGAAAATTTGTTACTAAGTTTAAATTGAATAATTCCTAGAGGATTCTTTTTATAATAATATTTGTTAGGTTCATAAAATATTTGTGTGTAAATAACAAAAAAAAGAAACGTACTGTTTTCATTATTTTATTAGAATCACTGTATCTAATATATTATAGTTATGATATAAGGATAATTTATCAGTTGCCACATTTGTGAAAAAATTATATTAGGAAAAATATTTTAAAAAGTGACATAACATCTACAATAAGATATTGAAAAAAACATGAAAACTTTTACATACATTTGTTAATATCAACAATATTTTTCTTATTGTTATTTTTCAATTTTCGGATGAACGATTTATATAGTTCACATAAAATTTCCGTGACTAAATCTTTTATACGTTGTAATTAAACATGTAATTAATAATCTATCGTAACCTATTGTAATTAAATATTTAATTATATTGAAAATCTATAATAATTAAATATTACATACTGTAACATTAACAAACAAATTCTTTTCGGCATAATTTAATTTTATAAATATTGAAATTTCAAACATAAATATTGAAATATCATCAATATCAAAATCAGATTGGTTCTTTGCAATATTATTGGTTCAATAATATTGCAAATTTTATAAGTTCGAGAATTATTTCTTATAGCTCTATAAATTTTTTTTAATTTCGAAAGAATTCTAATAACGAAGAAAATCTTTCACGTGGATTATATATTTTCGTAATATATGACGAAACAGACGATACATACTTTTTCCTAAAGAACGCTAAAGCGATATATCGCGCAAAGAGAGAACGAAGGCATTATTTATATCTCGAGACATTCGCTTAAACGATTTCACAGGAATTCAGTCATTAATCTCGGTTACGTACATAAGAGAGATACAGTAGCTAAATAATATCTAACGAAACATAAATAATCGCAGGTTTCTCATTATAATTTATTAAATGTTAATTAAAACTTATTGGTTAATTATATTCGAATGAAATGTTGTAAATCGTTGAATTTGATTGGTAGAAGGAAAATAATCAACGTATTGCCAGTCCTCAATTGTTTTTTCTGAAAAAAAAATAAAAAAGAATATATTAACTTATAGTTAATTAAAAGTATTTCTTTTAATTTCGAAAGAAAAGCGAATGAAAGAAAATATATTCTGTCGATGAATCTTTGCCGTCGCATGAAATCTATAAACGGAGAAATCTTTTCGCGTTATGCCAATAGAAAGTGTTGTTAGTTCGGTTCCTGGATGACTCGTTTCTCTAATCACATTCTATATCTACGACTAGAATAGAACTATCAGAAAACGGATCTATTCTATTTAAATCGTAAGAGTGGACAAATACGATAGTCATGATTTAAATATCTAAAATATTATCAGAAATATTATCATAAATGTAATTAGATAGTATGTGTGTATATATATATATATATATATATATAAATATATATATATATATATATATATATATAAATATACATATAAATATGTATGTATGCATAATATATATACATATCTCGTGAAGCATCTAATAAGGATGAGTGTCTCTTGGGAAATAAGGAAGTGAACCGTTAAACAGAACTTGGAATATTCCATTGCAGATACGCTTCGTTTCATACAACTAACCTTACTGAAAGCCTTCTGTTATTATACGCGAAAGCTTCGAGACTCAAAATGTTTGTAAACATTATGAAACCACTATCATTATGCATAAACGTGTTTCCTGATTGATCTGTTTGCATGAATTAATGGTTACTCTTCAATTTTAACCTAATAATTTTCTCTCGTCATTGTCAAAAAAAAAGAAATGGAATTTCTTTTAAAGAGAATAAACCAATTTTGAAATTTAATTTCTGTTTCAGTAGAATTTTTCGAAGGCTCTCCGAACAATCGGTATAAATGATTTTCCTCGGTATCTATGAAAAAAAAGGAAGCAAAAATATCGTTGAATATTAATAAAATATTTTGGAATATGTCGCCAGAAAGAGAAAGAGAAAAAGAGAGAGAGAGACATTATTTTATCATTTCGTTCGTCGCATTTCAAAACTTTTTCTCGAAAAGGAAATTATATTTCTCGAATAGCGAAATGAAATATTTTTAAAAGTTATCGTGGAATCTCTCTCTCTCTCTCTCTCTCTCTCTCTCTCTCTCTCTCACTTCTCTGAGCTTTGATACATTTTCAAACTATTTGACGACTCGTATAAAATGCCGAGAAAAAGCTAGCTAAATGAGATTTAGAGAAAGCTAAATATTCGAATATTCAGAAGAAAATGTCGGTACTAGATACATGAAAAATAACGAACGGTTCTATATAATTTAGAGAAACTATCTAATCTCAAAGAAACAAACTCTAACTATTATAAATCGTAGAAAGACAATTACCTTTCGTATCTCTCAGGAACTATGATTTTGCTTCGATGATTAATCGATTGTCTGCGTGCGCAGATTGAAACATGATATTCTGGGGGTTTCTTCTTTCTTCAAATTTCTATGGTCGAAATTTGGTCTATCGATTAATCGACATCAGCTGTCATTATTTCAACAAATAAAGCAGAAGAACGAAACTAAAAAACGATCCTATGAGAGACTTTTTGATTTTTATGAAAAAAAGAAAAAAAAATAAGGGAAGATATAAAAAGATAAAGTTTTGCTATATCTATACCTGTATAGGTGAGAACATTGAAAGCAATTATTCTCTTTTCTACTTCTCTTTGTTTACCAATCGAAGAGTACACTTTCGTAGGCGGATAAAATAAACGGATAGAAGTGTAATATAGATATTGTTTCAAAGTCTACATCGCCATGAATGGTTTGAAATAGGTAAATATTTGATAGAAAATGAAAATAGTTCTCGATTGACTAGTTTGTTTATACTCGATCATTGTTATTGTCGAGAAAACTTTTTAATATAATAGATAAATTGATAGAATAGTCGGAATATGAGGTTGATATGAGAATAAATGAAAAAGTTTTTAAATACTGATGCTTTATTTTATATAAAGTATTGTATAAATGTATAAACGCTATAAATACGTGGTATCTATCTATGGTGGTGGTGGGGTGCTAGTCGTGATCGCAAAGAAAGGGTATGACGAGGGCGGGCGGGGTCGGGGGCCGGCGGCGGCGCGCCATCTATATACATTCGTTCGCTCACGGGAAGGGCTGACCTACCATAATCTACCGGTCTCTCCTTTTCACTAACATATAAACATAATAATATAATATATGTGTAGTGTGTGTATATGTACGAATACACATATGGTAATGGTGTGTGTGCGCGCGTGTGTGGCAATGTGTTTATATATATATATATATAGATACGCGAAGAAAAGTAGAATAGTAGTAGTAGTATGTATACATATTTATATATATATATAAAAAGAGAAGAGACATATAATGCGCATGGACGAGCAATGTAATAATAATATGTATGCTTGGGTGCGGCAGTAAGTATAACAACACACGAGGCGTCGAGCCCCGCTCGAGGGAGAGAAGAGTAATAAAAAAAAGTGTGTGTATGTGTGTGCGCGAAGAGCGGCCTTACGGATGGTGGAAGACATAGAAAGAAGAAAAAGAGTTCGAGCCGGAGCAACGGTGGGTATTCAGAAAACAGAACAGACCCAGTTGGTCCGACGACGAAGCGCCAAAGCTTGTCCACTTGCCGAGAGCATGGCCGAGAGCGGCGGCCGGTCGATCGTGCTAGCGTATAGCTCGCAATTGGCTCGCGCCGTTAGATCTCATTAGACGCGGCTGATTCCTGACCGGCTCGTGGGTGCGCGAGATCTCGAGCCCGGCGACCGCGGTAACGACCGATTGTTGTGGTCGTACGAAGCGACAATTGACTAAATTTCCAAAAGAAGGAAAGTGTACCGCGAATCACGAGTGGCCGGGCTCACGATGCGTTTTCCCTTTCTCTATCTCTCTCCTCCTTTCTCTTTCTTTCTCTCATTCTGATACTAGATTTCTCTCTTTCGCTCCGTCTCACTCTCTCTCTCTCTCTTTCATTCTCTTTCTCTCGAGGCCGATACGAGCCGGCCTATCCATCGAGGGGAGGCTAGGACGGATCGGTGAAACAACGGGACCTTTCGTTGAAGCGAAGATCCCGTTGCGCCGAGCGCATCCTACCACCGAATATAGTATAGAGGCTATACCACTTTAAGACCGATGCGCGTTCCTACCATGTTCCGAGGTTGGACGAAGCTTTGGGAAGAAGACGTTGTGAGCGCGTTTGAGGATCGTCCGGAGACCGGTGAGTGACTGTGGTGGGTTTGCCGCCGTCGCCGAGCCGAGATCGCTGGGGTCTTGAACCGTCTACCACTTGGCAATTGGTGCGGGGATGATAGCTCCGTGGGAGCCGAGTCCGGCGTGGATGGCGCCAGATGGGCCATTGATAACAGCAACTCCGGCGTCATGTCCACCAATGCCACCAGCGATTCCAGGTCCACCTCCGATGACAGCGATGGCACCAGGGCCACCAAGACCAGCACCAAGACCAGCACCAAGACCAGCACCAAGTCCACCACCAAGAGCGGCACCTCCCAAAGCGAGTCCTGTTGGAGGAAAAAATAGGTAGGAAATAGTAGATGAGACTTTTTAATTCTAGGTAATCGTTGGACAAACGAAGGGAGATATTTACCACCAAGTCCAGCGCCACCACCAGGAGCGGCAGCAGCAGCAGAGCCAGAGCTTCCATCGTCACCGTTGATTCCACCAGCACCAGCGTAGAAAGCGACTCCACCGTAGCTAGGTCCTACAAGGCTAGCGGTAGCCTGGGATGGTCCAACGAGGGTGGCGGTTCCTTGAGAGGGTCCTACGAGGGTGGATGGTCCAGCAGCAGGTCCTACCAAGCTGGATGGTCCGGTACGAGGTCCACCTACGGATTTGGCACCTTCCTGGGGTCCAGCAAGATCGGATGGTCCAGTCTGGGGTCCTACGTTAGCCTTGGGTCCTTCAGCCGGTCCGATGTCGGCCCTGCCACCTGCTACTCCTCCAGAGACAATCTGTTGAACTCCAGCAGCTCCAGCAGCCGCCGCGGCACCAGCAGCATAGCTAGCACCAAGACCACCAGATCCCAAGCTAGAGGCACCACCCTGAAGGGAGGCAGCGGTTCCAGCACCAGCTGCGAGTCCACCGCTGAGACCGGCACCTCCGCCGAGACCTCCATGACCAGTGATAGCCAAACCAGCACCGCCGTAACCACCGTAGCCGATGCCACCATGTGCGATACCGGCACGGGCCGTCGCTACTGCTAGACAGGCGAACACGATCTGCAACGAACGAAACCGGTTACTTACTTCGACCACAACCGATCAATCTATACCGATCGGTTGTCCTTCGCCTCGAGCTTCCAATACACTTACGCCGACCGATTTCCCTCATGCTTATATTAAATGACGCCGCAACCCGAGCTATATCGGTTTACGGAAGCGCTCTACTACCGACTATCACCGACGCGAATCTCTATTTTCATTGGCTCGCAGGCGATTACGAACCGACTACCGTCCATGCGTCAGTTTAGCTTTCACTCGGAATCGCGGTGACTCTGTTCCCGGAATCTGTTTCGAACCGTTCGAAGTAGCCGTTCTTTCGCGTTTCAATCTTTGCATCCGATCTCTTTCGATTTGATCCATAGATTCTTTTCTTTTCTTATGTTCACAAAATATATTATATATATATATATATATATATATTTATATATATATATATATATATATATATATGTATATACATATGTATTTACGAAATGTGTTGATCGCGGCTAGTCCTCATAATGTCGTGCCGTAACGTTTCGTAATTGCAATGATAGCACACCGATTGCATTTTCTCATAGTTAACGAGACACTCCTCCGGAGGCAGACTCCCTCTCGCTTCGGCCTGGTTACCACGCCTAACGCGACAGGACCATATTAGGGGAAGAAATTCTTGACCGACCGTTCGCTAATAGATGCTTTCGTGTATCCGTAGAAAAAGAAGTCGACTTCGATTTTATGCAATCGCTCGAAACTAAACTTGCGACGCAATTCAACGCACGATCGAAGCCACGATATTGCACGATATTGCACGATATTGCACGAGATTCATAATTAATCTAACCGGCCAGAGTTTCACTCGAAATCCTCTTTCGTTTTTTTTCCGAGAGCAAAGTCGTTTTTTTTCCATATCTTTACGTTCTAAAGGAAGTGCGTTAGATCGAATCATGAACTCGCGTGTCGCGGCTGTTTTAAGACGTTGCACTTAAATGGCATCGCTTCGCGACCTGGAATTATGCATATCTAACGACTTCTCGAAACTTTCACATCCCGTTTACGCGGAACGAAGGTTCGCGAGCGGTGAGCCGTGCGACGAGTCTGACCGAACGTTCCCGCGACCCTCCCGACTCTAAAGATCGCATTTCGTAATCTCTAACGTCTAGAACTCTCGCGAAAAATAGAATCTATTGTAGATCGTTCGTATTGAAAGTCAGTATACTTGTCATTAAAGAATCTACGAAGGATTCACCAAGGACGGTAACCGGTCGTCGATACGATTCCTTTTCAATGACGAGCGCGATGATACTACAACCGGTTTTACTTTGACTTGCACTAGACGACCAGATTGCATATTTTATGAATGAAAGTCGTAAGAGGTATGGTGCCGATCCGTCTGCGTTTACTTTCGAGTTTCGCGGACGAGTTAAAAGAACGACAAAGAGAAAAGGTAAGACGAACCCTGACATTGAATCGTCGTTTCACTAGATACGTGACATTTTAAAACGTCGCGTTTACTGCGAGATTATTTGTTGACGCGAAAATCTAATTATCCATCAAAAGAACGAACATTGAGTTTAGCTTGAATTAAAACGATCGAAATAACTATGACAGTAGAAATGACCGTAGAGAGAAACTGGAAAGTTATACTGAAAAGTGAAAAAAGTTTCAAGCAAGATGACGCGATAGGTAAAAAATGAAAATAATTAAATGAGATAGAGTAGCGCGACTTTACTTGGAGCACGAGAGAACGACGCGACGATCAATCGAATATGAGCAAGTGATACACCCCGACGAAAAGAAACACCCCGTACCGAAGCCCGTAATTGAGCCCATAATTGAGCCCGTAATTTAGCCCGTAATTTAGCCCGCAGAGGAATCCGTAGATACTCACAAAGGCCTTCATGTTTGGTGTGTGTATGGTGGGCTGGTAGTCCGGTGAATGACTGACTTGGGCCGGGCCGGCAGGCCTTATATACGCCTAACTCTACTCTGTCCACGCTCCACAATCACCATCCTTTCGAAAGCAAGGCGCTCCACCACCCTCCCCCCAGAAAAACTATAATCCTCGCGTATAGCAGCGACGGCGTAGTGGCTCCGTAGTGGCTAGGAGCCGTGGGGGTGGCGAGGGGGGAGCCGGGGGAGGCCGTTCCTAGTCGTCGATAGTTGCCTTTGCTCGCCTCTACTCGCGGGCAACTCGCAGCTCGGATACGGCTCCGCTCCACTCCCCTATCGAGACACGACCACCGAGTGCAAACTGGCACCACCCGGTCGCGGCAACCCGATGTTAATTTACTCCCTTTCTAAGGGCCTTCGAAACGACCCTTATTCGTTTTCTCTCATCATTCGGTTCGCCACCATTCGTCCATCCAAAGATAGATTTCTTCTTACTTTCTTTCCTAAAAATTTTCCATTTTTTCCTTCCCCCCCTCCCTCCCATTGCCTTTGTCAAAGAGCAAATATCTTTATTCATTCGTCGCGTGTTCGAACGCGCTTTGATTTTGTAATTTTTTTTCTCCTTTACGATTAAATGAACGCGAAAGCGACATGCAACAATAATAGAAACTCGATAAGGATTCGTTGTCTTCCTTCATGATCGTAATCTTTCTTATCGTTAGCTCGAATAAATACTACGGATTACTAGTCATTTTTAAAATAATTTAATAAGACATAACTCTTTTCTCTCTAGTCATTATTCGATCGTATCGAATTCGATAGGTATGATCGATACGATAACGTTAAGGATAAAAAAAATTTTAACGAAGACACTCGAAAGGTGATTTTTTTGTTTCTTAAAGTTTTCCTAAGATATTCTTCTTCAATCCTGAAAGGTCGTAGAGACTCCCAAGTCGAAGTTTTCATTTAGGTAGTCCAGTTGTTAAAGGGAGAAACTTTGTCGTTTACGGTTGACAAAAGAGAGAGAGAGAGAGAAAGAGAGAGAGAGAGAGAAAGAGAGAAAGAGAGAAAGGAAGAGAGAAAGGGATCCAAGAATGGCGAAGCGCAGTCCTGATTATGGCCCGCTTGTTACGTAGAAACGAGGCACCTTGCATCGAAAAGGAGTTTCGCGTTTAGAGCAGCGCGAAACGTTCTAAAGAGTTGGAATTACGGGTCGTTGAATGGCCTTAAGAGACCTGAATTCTTTTCTAAATAGATTGCCTGCTACCGCCGTCGCTCGTTCGTTACTTATTACCTCAACCTACTAATTCTAACTATCGAGTAACCGTCACCGAGCGACAGGAGCGTTATGTCGCTTGGTTTGAAACGAACGAAACGATAGCGATATCCCTCTTGCTTACCCTTTTTCGTGTCCTTCTTATTCGATAGAGATATCTCACGAACAGAAAAGACATAGAGAAAGGGAATCTATTAGAGGGACCGGAAAGTAATATCGTTTCTGCACATGTCAATATTTGACTGTAATTAAAAATAAAAACTTGTTAAAAATTTATTCGTTTGAATTTAATTTAAGAAAGTGACATTACTTTCCGGTCCCCCTAATACTTTGTATTTTGCAATGGAGCCTTTTAAATTATACAAATTTTACGACAAAATGAACAGTTCCTTGTCAAATTCGATGAAATTTGAGAAAGTAAAATAGTTGATGATGAAAAAAACGGGATGAATAATGAAACAAAGAATGAGAGAAAGATAGATAGATAGATAGATAGATAGAGAGATAAAGAAAGAGAGAGAGAGAAAGAGTGAGAGAGAGAGAGAGTGAGAGAGAGAAAGAGAAGGGAGGGAAATAGCTAAGAGGTTGAAAAGAGAAGAATGTTTGCTCATTATATCGTGCTAATTAGCTTACTTTTCATCCGATTCCATGTATATCACGCACTCATGATTTTCCGGCTTTGCAAAGTGAAAGCCATTATATTATTTGAAGTCTACGAAAAATGTTTGTTGATCGCGAAAGTCGCCCGCACGAATCTTTTCTTGGTTGCTCGGCAGCCCTGGCCGGTTTAGAATATATAAAGCGGCTCCGCTGCTGTAGTCGATTCTTTTGCGTTCTCACTCACCCTTCGTGCACCGCCATCGCTGCTCGATCGGCGCGAAAGTGATCTACACGCGCTGGTCGTGTTTCATCGATCAAGCAATCGATCGATCCTCGTTGTTGTTATCGTTCTTGTCATTGTCAAGTTGTTCACGAGATAAAAAAAAGGATTAAATTTATCGAAATTGGGCGAAATATTTTGTAGTGAAGTTACAATATTTCTTTGATTAATAAACGCGATATACTTTAATTATTTGAATTATTTATTATTATCATTATATAATTTTTTATTAATCAACGCGCGTGTTAAGTTATCATGTTTCCGACGTAAGGTTCCGCGTAAATTGCCAGCTTCGAATAAATTTGTTCGATACGATCGTACACGAATTTCTTTTCCATATATTACATTTTCGTGAAATAAAACGATAAAAAAGAAAAGAAAAAAAAGATTACATTTCGATAAATGTATGATGAAAGAAAAATGAAAGTAGTTTTCTTCAGTATTTCCGAATAAGAAAACGTTTTTCGCAAATTAATTGATCTTCGATCAATATGCTTCGGGCCATCGGTATTTACGCATCCGCATCTGATAAGGCAACTTTCTAGACCACTTACATGGTTGTTAGATCCGTGAACCGAATTGTAATAAAGGTGTCGAGTTCTATAGTGTCATTTAATGTTAACGATTATTGACGTTTCGTAGATCGTTAACTTTTTTTCCCTAGCGAACGTACCAATTCATTTTTCTTCTCTTATTAAAACGTGAAATTAACAGATTGAAAGTGAACGAGAGGTGCGAACTTGGATGGATTACTTTCTTTATTTGTTGTATTGAAATTCTTCAATAAATGATTGGCAAAATTTAAAGGTATATTAAAAAAGTGTTGGAGAATAGTCGGTTTCGTTCAATTTATTGCATCAAAATTAATCGTTTTGCAAAAAAAAAAAAAAATAAAAAAAGAAAAAAAAAAGAATAAAAAAAAAGTAACAGAAAAAAGTAAATCGTTTAACGCAAAGGAACTATTCGAAAGGATCTATTAAAGTTCGAACAAGTCGACATTGCATGGTGGTGTATGTACCTGCTTCAGGGACAAAACAGCGATAGGATAGCAACATTGACAATAAAGTTCTTATGCATCAAGAGTGTACCAATCGGAGCGTATCCCTTTCTCCATGGAGTACCAGTGACGAATCTTAACCCATTCAGCCCTGACTTCGATCGTATCGAAGTCTTTCGTAACATTAATTTATGATATAATGAATATAATAAGAAATAAAATGAATAATAAAAAACGATAAACATTATTAGTTTTTCATTTAATGAAATTTGGAATGGAAAATTTTTGTTGCAAAATATTGCGAAAGGTCAAATAACTTAATAAAGGTTAAACTAATAAAAATCAAAAGAAAATTGGCACTTTTATATAGTGCATTCTGTTTGCGCGTATTTCGTTCCGTGCGAACGGAAGAAAAGGCAAATGGTTACGCAACGACGCGCGGTTAAACGAATCGAGGTGCGCAAGCGTGCACGCGTTCTCTTACTTGCTCTTTCTCTCTTAGTACATACATGCATACGTACATGCATACGTAGCAGATAGGTACGCCGTAGAGAAACCAAGTTGTTAGTTCGAAGCAGTGCCAAAGGCGCAAACAGACTCGTACAAAATTCTCTTATTTCTAACTCGAACCTATTATTCTATTTTATCGTCGAATTGTCATTGAGTTTGAGATGATTGCGAGATATCAAGGACGAAGGTCGCGAATAAGTCGAGGAAAGTAGACCAATTTATTTAAAACATTATCTAAAAGGACTAAGGGCCTGGACAGATGTTAAATATAATTTTTGTTTCATAAAATTAAAAAGTCATCGGAAAAGAAAAATAAAAGAAAAATTGTATTGATATAATCGCTAGTATTGTGGATTATAATATTACAAAAAAAAAAAAAAAGAAAAAAGAAAAGAGAAAAATATCTCTATATACATATCTATGTTACACAATAATTAGATTGATTTCATCAGAAATATTGGCCGATTTTACTGCGAATATTTATGGAACGAAAAAAATGTGAAAATAGAGAAATTTTATTCTTAAAAAGAACTAGGTGTAAATGGCGAGGAAGAACGAATAGTGGGGGTATCCATGGGAAAACTCGGTTATCGTCGACGCCACTACGAAAACGAACGTCACGCTTCGTGACTACGTGCTCCTCCTTCGTGTTCGTGATTATTCGTCGATTCGACTTTGACGTTTTCTCTTGATCTTAAGCATATATCGTAAAATAAGAACGGTATTATAACGATCGGTATTATAATGAGATACGATTTCAAAATCGAAATCGATCGATCGATTGATCGATTGAGAAAACAGTATGGTGAGAAATAAGAAGGAAGAAGAGAGTCGACAATACAAAACGTCTCTAAACTCGAGCGTAAAATAAGAGAGTCAGTCAGTAGGTTGCCCGGTTAGTTGGTTTCTAAGCTGTCGACTAGTCACTGGTTTATCCTTTTCTCTCTCTCTCTCTCTCTCTCTCTTTCTCTTTCTCTTTCTCTCTCACTCTCTCTCTCTCTCTTTCTCTCTTTCTCTTTTTCTCACAGTAGTAGGAGGTGAGTAGGAGGCGTGTGCATCCATCCGAATGCAAATCATTGGAGAATTGTCATCTCCCATTAGAAAAAGTAGAAACTTTAATATTATATCTGTTCCGATTTTTATTATCTCCTTTTCCAAGCTTAGATGAACTTAGATATAAACGCAGATATATAATTCCAATAATTATTATCAAAGTGATTATATATTATCATGTATAATAATTTACTTCGTATCATTTAAACAATCATATAATTAATATATAAATATTTGCGATAGAGGTTATATATACTGTTTAAAAATAGTAAATATTCTGTAAGATTTTAATTCATCCAATATAAAGATCACTATCTCGATAATCAAATGATATTTTATTTAACTGTTACAATATATATTAT